ACCTTTAGGAGATTCAGCAAAATACATAGAAATAGAGCAAGAAGAGGTGGAAGCTGTCAGCAACAGTCTTTTTCCTAGTACACTTATCCCTTCCACATTGTGACTTTTCTCATCATGGTTTCAATACATTGTGGGTTGGCATAAGAAATTAAATGGGAATTTTGAGGGAGTTTTGCAGAAGCCACAGATGGCATAGAAAAAGTTTAGAAACTCAGAAATGCATAAAATATATGTTTAGTGCTGTATAATGTAAACACATTTTATCTTTCGATATCATAATAATTCAGACTTCTTCTCTGGTACAAAGGGACCAAAAAATTTTACGTGGATTTTCCAGATTGTGTGGGTGCTGTGTCCATAACCCTGGCGATGTGGAAGGGATAACTGTATATTCTTTAAGTTCCAAAAGGGATTTTAGACTTTATCTGAAGGCTGGCCCAGAATGCCGCAGACTCTGACCTTAGGGAAACTTTCAGGTTCCCTAGGGAACCTTTAAGGGTTTCCTTAAGTTAAGGTATCAGATATCTTACCCTCTCCATAGAGAGAGAAGGGGAAAGGGGAAAGAAAGACCACTGACCCTTCTTCAGCCTCAGCCGAGGCAGCAATATGGGATTCATTCACCCGGACATAATTTGTGCTGGATACATCCTCAGCTCCCTGCTTCAGGACCCCTCTCAGACACACCTGACCCTTGAGCAATCTCCATGGGGCCCTATTTGTATCTCCTGCTGGTAATGCTGTCCTTTTCTCTGTTGTCTTCCTCGCTTTGCATTCTGATTTGTTGAATTTCATCTCTCTTACTCATAAGCCCGGTTCCCTAAGGTCAGAGTCTGTGGCACTCTGGGCAGCCAGCCTTCAGATAAAGTCTTAAATTTCCACAGAGCTTAGGGAATACTGGGGGAAAAGTATGTCCTTTTCAGCCAGCCCTCACCTCCCCTTAGCTATTACCTAGCTCCATAGATATGTATTGTGCTGAAGCTCCCAAAAGCGGGTTCCATATGTAAATGGATTTGAAAACCTTATTGTTATGATGATGATCATTGGGCTATCAAGTATAGCCCAAAGGATCTGAAGTCCCATGACCTGGGTTCAAATCCTGCCTCTGCTGTGTGATCATATGTAAATCCGTCCACATCTTTTTTTTTTTTTTTTTGGCTAGGCAGTGGGGTTAAGTGACTTGCCCAGGGTAACACAGCTAGTGAGTGTTATGTGTCTGAGGCCAGATTTGAACTCAGGTCCTCCTGAATCCAGGGCCAGTGCTCTATCCACTGCGCCACCTAGCTGCCCCACCCCATCCCTATCTTTAGGCTTCACTTTCCTCATGAGAAAAATGGGAGGGTTGGACCAGATGATTTCCAAGGTTCCTTCCACTTCTGATTCTATGATCCTAAATCACTTGACAAAGTTATCAGTTATCAATGTAATTTTAAAAGCCAACCAATAATTTAATAGGATGACATATTTCTTAACCCATCATTTACTCAGACCCTTCAATGTATTCTTGAGTTCATCGATGTGGGTACTTCCTCTGATGATACTTATCACCATCCCCCTATGCATTCTCAGTTACTTGACTTGCTGTCCTCTTATACGTCCTCCATTGGAGGTCCTCTCAATCTGTGATGGTGGAGGGGGGGGAGTATTCCTGGAGTCCTCGTGAAATCATTAAGGTATCTGTGGAGCTCACAAGCTCTGCCTCAGTTATCCCTCATTCTCATCCCATTAGCTGTTGGCTTTCTTTTCCATTCCCTTGCATAATTCCTGGTGGGTAATATGTGATAATCTACTCACACCCACCATGTTCCTTTCTAGTGCCCCTGGAGTGGGCTTGATGCTTTAATTCTCTTCTTTATTCAGCAACTGATGACACCTAGGGCTAAGCCAAGAAAACAACTTTGTCTTTTGGACAATAACTTCAGTGAATGATCTAAATATACATTATCTAATTTTGATTACATTAGGAAAATGTAATTCTTTCTCTCTTCCTCTTTGCAATTCCACCTCTTGAATGCTCCTGATTAGACTTTTTTTTTTATTAACTATGAATTTTAAATTCATCTCTCGTCACATGACTATCATGGGACATCTCAGGAGGAAATGACTCCCATTTTTCCTATTTAGTTCCCCTATTTCTCTGTTCATTCTCTCTGTGTTTCTAGGGAGATATTTTTGAGAGGCAATGTGCACAGAGCCCTGGAATTAATCAGGAAGGGGAATCCTATCCTGCCTCCAGATTAGCTGGGAAGTTGCTTCATCTTCTTAGGCTTCAGTTCTCTTGTCTATAAAATGGAAATGGTACCGAGACCTATTTTACCTAGGTGACAAGTTTTTGTGCTTCTGGAGAAAGGGCAGTGGATTTGAAATCAGAATAGCTGAATATAAAAGGGGGGAGCATTTATTAAATGCCCGGTATGTGCCAGGCCCTGTGCTAAGAGCTTTATAGATATTATCTCAACAACGCTGGGTGGTATGATCCCCCTATTATGATCCCCCTTTAAAGTTGAGGAGATTGAGACTGATAGAGGTTAAGTGACTTGCTCAGGGTCTGAGAGGCTAGATTTGAACTTGGCTGTTCCTGATTCCAGGCCCAGCTCTCTATCTACTGTGCTGCCTGGCTGCCTCTATGAATCCTGGATTTGGCATTTTACAATCTATATAACCTTGGACAAGTCATTTCACTTCCTCCAGGTCTCAGTTTCTCCACCTACAAAGTAAGAAGTTTGGATCAGTTTATCTCTAAGATGAGAAAAAATAAAGCTCAAACTCTATGATTGTATAATTATAGCACTTTATAAACTCCATTGAAATCGGTTGTTATTTCAGAAACGCCCACATACTTCCAATAGTGTTATTTCAATCATTTTCCACTTTTCAAAATAGCTATAGAAAAAAAAATGATTTAACCAACATTGTGCCATTAAAAGACATTTGGAATATCATTTACTAAGACAAATGTAGTTCCCTGCATAGGTTAATGGTGATAACAGAGGAGCTAGGCTTCTGGATTTTATCCAAGTCTCTAACCCTCTTAAATAACTACATTTCAGCTTTAGGATAAAAGTTTTGCTTTCCTTTCAAAACCATTTTAATGCTAATATTTTAGACCAAGATGGGAGTTTTGCCTAATTTGTTGCCAATGGGGATGGGTGTGGTTGGAAAGAGAGTAGAATAAACCCCTTTCAAAATAAAACTAGGCTTTCTTGGATAGAAAATAATTTTTAAAAGTATTTTCTACCACTAATGAAGTTTTTTAAAAAGTTTAATTTTCATGAAAATGTACAAAGTGAACATTGAGAAACAGAGCAGCTGGGGAGCTGTCAGCAATGCCCATTCGGCAAAACACCCAACTCACTTCAACACACTGAAGCCAATACTTCAATCTCATTTCCTCTCTCAGTAAGCTGCTACCACCCTTAGTATGTTTCCACTGGATATATGAAATGCAAATAGCCTTGGAAAATAGTTGTCCCATTCCAACATAGAAATGGAATTTCATTTGAGGAAAGAAGAGAGAGGATTGTCAATTAGAGGTGTGTGACTCCAAGGTCACCTCAAGGTGGGCATGACTCATTCTTCAAGGGGCAACTGAACACTGAACACTGCCTTTGAATCTCAGAAAGTAGACTCATTCAACCAGAATGGGGAAAGCCCTGAACTCTGATACTTGTGGTTTCTAGCACTAACAAGCTTTAAAAAAAATGGCAGAATGGATAAGAGTGCGGGTTCTGTAGTTAGAGGAACTGGGTTCAAATCCCGCTTCTAATGGTTATTGCTTTCGTGAACCTATGCAAGTCACTTGACCACCAGGGGTCTCAGTTTCCCCATCTGCAAATTTTGGAAGTTAGACTAGATGGTCCCTGAGGTCTCTTCCATCTGTGATACTAAATCAAATCACGTACAGCATCTGAGGAGGAAGGGATTTCAGAGACTGATCAAGATTCTGAGCCTAAAGACTTTCTCTAGAGGTAGTCCTCCCTACTTCTGGGCTGCACTAATTATTCAGAGGTTTTTCCTACATCAAGCATAACTTTACTTTCCCGCAATTCCCCTCCACTGACCCTGATTCTGCTGAATGGGCCCAAGTAGGCAGCTAGATAGATGGAAAGCTGGATTTAGAGTTAGAAAGACCAGAATTCCAATCCTACACTAGATGCTGACTAGCTATGGGACCCTGGGTAAATTACTTAAATCTCTGCCTCAGTTTCCCATATCAATAAAATGCAGATAAAAATTGTACTTATCTCCCAGGGTTTTTGTGAGGATAAAATGAGATAGTATTAGCTTATCAATACTAAAAAAAATACTCTTTTATCATTTTAATAAAGTTTAAAATGCTATAAGTGATAGTGATTATTATTAGGGGGGAAGGGAATTAGTATTTATATAGAGCCCACTATTGTCAGGCCCTATGCTAAGGGCTTTTACAAATATTATCTCATTTGTTCCTTACCACAATCACAGGAGGTAGGTGCTATTATATATTATCATATTTTATAATAGATATTATTGTAAATTATATTATCATAAGATATTATGTATATAGTTGAGGAAATTGGGCAAATAGAGATTAAGTGATCTGCTCAGGGTCATACAGATAGTCTGAGGCCAAATTTGAGCTCAGGTCTTCTTGACTCCAGGCCAAGTACTCTATCCATTGCATCACCAATTGCTTACTTATTATTTAAGCAAAATAAATGTGTTCCATTCCCCACATGATAACCCTTTAAATACTTTAAAACAATCTTCTTGCTCCCTCCTACACCTTCTCTTCTCCAAACTAAATATCTCTACTTCCTTTAAGTGATTCCCTCTACTTCATGAATAAGACCTTTAAATCTAGTCTCAGGCCAGACACTTGCCACTTACTAGCTGTGTGACCCTGGGCAAGTCACTTAACCCCAATTGCCTCGCCATAAACAAACAAACAAACAAATGAATGAATGAATGAATAAACAAACAAACAAATAAATAAATGGATGACTGAATGAATCAAACAAACAAATAAATAAGTACATAAAGTCCATATAGCCCTAATGGAAGGTCAGATGATTATTGTGTAATATGATGAGTACTTTCTACCTATAACCATCCTTTTAGTCACCCGGATTCACCACCTTGGACCATATGTTCTTCTCTCTCTTTTTCACTCTGTCTCCTTCCCTCTCTGTCTCTGTCTCTGTCTCATCGTCTCCCCTGCCCATATGTAATCAATTGCCAAGTTTTACCAAATCTTCCTTCCTCCACAACACCTGTAAAATCTACCCTGTTCTTTCAACCCCAATGGTCTTGATCATTGTTGAGGCCCTCATCCTCTTTAATCTTCACTATTGCAATAGCCTCCTAATTAGTCTTCTTGCCTCCAGGCCATCTTCCACTTGGCTGTCAAATTAGTATTCCTAAAGCCCAGCTCTGAGCATCAGTTGAGGGAGCTTTCACACTGTCATTCCCTCCACCAATAAAATCACAAGACTGGAGAACATCATTTCTGGACAGAATTCAAAGGTGCTATCTGCATCTTTTATAGAAAAGAAACAATTTCTCAGCTCAACACTTTACAGTGCCTCTAATAAAATACAATCATAGATTTTGAGCTGGTGGATCGATGGACTCTCCAAGAGGTTAAATGATGGGCCCAGGACCACACAGCTGGTCAGTTTCTTGAGGTAGAATTTGGGGTCATGACTCCAAATTCAATGCCCTATCCACCATGTCACACTGCCTTTCCAGTGTGGCATTTTTCTAGCTCTCCACATCCTGTCTCCTGTCTACCTTCCCAATGTTCTTTCTTACTACTCCCTTTCCAATACTCTCTATTCCAAAGCACACAGAAAATTCAATCTCCCACCTCCAGGCTTTTGCACAGTGAGTCCTCCCACCTAAAATTCATTTCCTCTTAGAATCAATGCCTGACTTCCTTTGAAGCCCAGTTTAGAGCCTTGTCCTATACAGAAACATTCTTTGGAGCCCCCTCCCCCCAAGGATTAGCACTCTCTCCTCTTCCAGATAAGTTCTTACATATCTTATATTTATTAACTTTGTTACTGGTTTTCACACAGTAGAAAGTCAGCTCATGGAAAGTTGGAACTCCTGGCTGTAGTAGCTGTTGTTTTGTCTTCATATTCCCAGCCAGGTGGTGCCACAGGGGACAAAGCGCTGGGCTCGGAATCAAGAAGACTCATCTTCCTGAGTTCAAATCTGGAAACAGACACATAGAGGCTGTGTGACCTTGGGCAAGTCACTTAACCCTGTTTGCCTCAGTTTCCTCATTTGTAAAATGAGCTGGAGAAGGAAATGACAAGCCACTCCAGTATGTTTGCCAAGAAAACCCCAAATGGGGTCACAAAGAGTCAGATACGACTGAACAACAACAATTCCAGCACCTAGCACAACAAGGTCATGCAGCAGTAAGTGCTCATTAAAAGTTTGTTTTGAATTGACCTCTTTGTACCCAGCATGCTTTTTGGAAGGCTTTTGTAAGAAGAAATATCAGAGTCGATTATAGTTGTCTTTTTTGTCTCAATCTATGATTTCATTGTGTAAGGAACCCTTGGGAAGGAATTCCGGTCTACTGAAACATATTAGCTATTGTTCTGAAAATTATAGGCCCAGAAAGTGGCTTGAGGCACTGAAAGGTTAATCAACTTGCCCAGGGTTGTGCAGCCAGTATGAGTCACAGGTAGGTCTGGAACACAGGTCCTTCTGACTCCGAAATTAGTTCTTTCTACCCTCAACCACACCGTCTCTCTATCTACAATATAGCTCTATAGACTACACACAGTGTCTGGCATGTAATACACATTTAGTAAATGTTTATGGATTGATTGAGTATAACACAGGTTCATCATGAAATCCAATCCAAAGGGGATTTATTTTCTGAAGCACCAGAAAGACCTCACCCTACCATGAGAAGCTTCCTGGGGCGATGAGAAAAGCAATAATTTAGTAGATAGAAGATTTGCTTTCAAATCTTGCCTTTGTCACTTATCTGTGTGATCTTAGGAAGACAATTAATCTCTCAAGACCTAGGCCTCTTCATCAGCAAAAAAGAAGGTGATTGGAGGAGATAACCTTTCGGGTCCTTTCTAATGATTCCTTATCTACCTATAAAACAGCCTTATGCCTTAGGCTCATAGGATGATAACTATGAAATAATGGTTGTTGTTCAGTCATGTCTGACTCTTTGTGACCCCATTTGGGGTTTTCTTGGCAAAGATACTGGAATGGTTTGCCATATCCTTCTCTAGATCATTTTACAGATGAGGAAACTGAGTCAAACAGGGTTAAGCGACTTTCCCAAGGTCATACACGTAGTAAGTGTTCGAGGCCAGATATGAACTCAGCAAGGTGAGTCTTCCTGACTCCAGTCATGGTGCTCTGCACCACCTAGCTGCCCACAATAATAGCGGTTATAAAGGTATGAATAATAATGCTAATGATAACTTTTATGTGCCCCCAAGCAACTCTCTAGCACTTTAAGTTATTAAAAAGTTGGGCCACATCAGTAGAGGGAGTTTTCACACTGTCATTCCCTCTACCAATAAAATCATAAGACTGGAAAAAATCATTTCTGGACAGAATTCAAAGGTGCTACCTCTATCTTTTATAGAAAGGAAACAGATTTCTCAGCTCATTTAAAAAAAACAAACAAACCCATATGACATACTAAGAAAAAAATATTTTCTTTCTCCCCTTTCATTAAAAAAAAATAACAGTTGATAATGAAATGAAAATAAATGAAGCCATTCTGCCTCATGGAGGAAGAAGAGGAGGAGGCTTCGGGCAGCTGTCCAGGACAGCTGCAATTTCTCTAGCACCCTGATCCTTTCCCCTCTGGGCCACTTGTTACTAACTGGTCCAAGAATGAGGACATCCTGGCCTTTTTATTGCATCGTGTTCCTCTACTTAAGTTTTGTGCTTGTTGAATGAAGGTCTCTTGACATAATATCCTGTTCTTCTGATGATTAAAGTGCTACATCTGAATTCAGGAAGACCTGAGTTCAAATCCAGATTCAGACACATACTAGCTATGAGACCCTTGGAAATTTCCTTCACTTCCTGAAATGGACATGAAAATATTTGCCATAACTACCTTGAAAGTAGGCATTGTGAGGCTTTGTAAACCCAGTCACTGTGTCAAAGGGCAAATTTGAACCCTGGTCTTCCAGCACACTTTTCTTATGCCAAATTGCCTCTCTAAGGCAGGAGATAGTCAACCTGAGCTTCTAATTCTGTTGCTCTGGCCCTAAATCTTTGCCTTCTGAACCTTGCATGCTGAGAAGTACCATTGGTCACTCTTTCATTTTCCGTCAAATTTTTACAAGCAGGTGACCCCCTTGTTTCTTCTGACAGCATCTCCTGTCTTCCCAAGTCCCAAACAGGGTGGCCTATTCCCTAACATTTTCCATGAGTTTCACCCACACCCCTCCATAGCCCTACCCTGAGACCTCATCAACCCCAAAGCACCCTCTCCCTGAATAAAAGCTTTCAAGTCATTTACTGTTGTGGTCCTCCTCATTGAATATTTTTTCAACCTTTTGAACTTTTCATAAACCAAGTTCGTTTTGGTCCAAACATGTCTTCATCTTTTGGCTTTTGAAGGGAAACTTCCATTCTGGTACACCATGAGGACATGTGTGCCCAGAGGACAGAAGCTATTGAGAGATAGGAGAGTGTGAACAGATCCAGTGGAAACCCTTGGCAACAACTCCATCCTCAGCATCTGGAGGAGTTCACATGTTCTTCAGAACAACCCTGCTCTCGTAGGACTTGGGAGAGAGAAATGTACCAATAGCCTTCTCCCTCCTCCCACTTTTCCAAAGCTTTGCCTGTCATCTCCTTTTCAATCTGCCTACCTCTGTGTGTGTGTGTGTGTGTGTGTGTGTGTGTGTGTGTGTTGTGTGTGCACAGACAGTGAGCTTTCCAGAAATGTGCAATAGATTAGAGAGGGGGACTTGATGTTCCAGACATGGAGGGGAAGGGACGTGGTTGAACTTGATCAGCATTCTGCTTATGCAGAGAAGGAAGAAGTGTGAAGCAACAGAATGTGGATTACTTTCGAACATTACTATTTTTAATGCTGTTCTCATTTAAGCTATCCCTGTCAGCAGGCTGGGAATAGAACATAACTGGCTTATGTATGTATGTGTGTATGTTTGGGGGGGGGATGTTGAATGTATTTAGATTTAGGGTAGGTTCCGAACTTTTACAAGTAACCCAGCCTGCCTTTTGAGGAAATGCCATATTTTCTGAAATTTGAGCAAGAGGGGAAAAGCAAAACAAACATATGCACCTTTATTTTCCTCTGCTGAGAGAAAAAGCGATGGGAATAATGGTGACCCAGAATGTAAGCTCAGAGCTTGCATGAGGTAGGTACCAAATAGATGCTCCATGAGTGAATGAAAGAGCTCAAGCCGAATTATTTGTAGGATCAAGAATCACAGAATCTCAGAACTGGACAGGCTGTCAGAGAATGTCAAGTGCAACCTGCAGCTGATTAAGAATCCCTTCCACGTGTATATAGCCTGACATGTCCACCTAGTCTTTGCTTGCTTTACAAAGCAGAGAGTTGGACTAGAGATGACCTCTGTGGTCCCATTTAGCTCTACATGTACACCCAAGGGTTCTAAAACTTCGATCTTTTACCCCTAGTTCTGCCCTCTGGGCTCCAGCAGAATAAGCCCGATCCCCCTATATTGTTATGATGTCTCCAGGCTAAAAGTCTTGATTTCCTTCAATGAAATCCTCCAATCTCATGAAGTCAAGCTGTTTCACCATACTATCACCCACTTTGGGATGCTTCCCAGCTAATCAATAATTTTTCTCCAAATTGGCTCCCAGAATGGGTCTCGTCATTCCAGATACAGGTGGACTATTACCTCCCTAGCCCTAGACATTATTCTTATTATTCTGCTTATGTTATCATTCTTTTTCTTGTCTGACAGATCACATTGTTGACTCATTTTGAACTTGCAGCCCATGACAGATCCCACTCTTCGGCAGATGTATTGCTATCCAGTAATGCTTCCCCCCTCCCCCCCATCCCCATTTCCACCTCATACTTATTTACTTTGGCTGCAGGTAAGTGGCTCAGTGGATAGAACACTGAGCCTGGAGTCAGGAAGACCTGAGTTCAAATATAGCCTCAGACACTTGTTAGCTGTGTGACCTTTGGGCAAGACACTTAACTTCTGTTTGCCTCAATTTCTTCAACTGTAAAATGGAGATAATAATAGCACCTATGTCCCAGAGTTGTCATGAGGATCAAATGCGATATTTGAAAGGCAATTAGCACAGTGCCTGGCATAGAGTAAGTGCTCAATAAATGCTCATTCTCTCCCTTCCTGCCTTACTTGTAAAGCCGATTTTTTGAACCCAAGTGTAAGACTTTGCATTCACCCCTTTTAAATTTCATCTTCTTTGGTCTAGTCCAATGTTCTAGCCTGTCAAAATATTTTTGGATCCTGGCTTTGAACATGCTCAGATTCTGCATGCTTCCCCCTGGGCTCCAGAACTTGCTGTCTTTATTAGCACAAAATGTCATAATTCATTTCCATCAGCAGCTCATCCTTCCTAATGTAACATGATGCTCTGCCATTATGGATTATTCTGGGCTGTCTCACCCTAAAAATGCATGTACGCTGAGGGCATGCTACTTGCTAAGAGACACTGGGCTCTGTCACCCAATCAGGGCTGGTCGTCCTTCAGCTGTTCTTAGAAGAACCTGGGCTGGGAGAAAGCATCATTCCTACGAAGCAGGAGTGCTATCCCAGCATTCCTCCCAGCAGGATCAGTATAGATACCTGCCTGAGAATCACCCTGAACCGAGTTCTCACCCACTCCTACAGTGACAGGAAACCTTCAAGCTGTCCCTATGGAAAAACTATGAATTTGCTCAATTTTGGCTCCATCCTTCTCTATTTCCTCCTCCCTTTTCTTTTAAAAAAATTTTTTTATTGATATCTTTTTTGACATCATCTCAATTTTCCCCTGTATCCGTTCCCCTCCTGCCTCCCAGAAGTAGGTAGGTAGATAGAAGCTCCCAGAACCATTATATCACAGGACTTTTTTTTCCAATAAAGAAAAAGATGTGAAAACAAATTCTGCAAAACCAATCAACACATTGAAAGAATCCAACATTATGTGCAATACTCCTTACTGGTAGACCCCCAGCTCCACAAAGAATTGTCCTTCCTTTTCAATCTGTCTCTTTTTTTCTAGCACTCCTCAACTCTCTCCCCAGGTAACTGACCACCCAAGGGTAGACTGCGAAAAGAGTATGGGCTCGGGGCCTCATCTGTAAAATGAGGGGGTTGAACCTAATGACCACCCAGGCTCCTTCTAGCTCTTGATCTAAGATCCAGTTCTAGGCTTAGCATTATGAGTAGTCTTTGGCTGCAAGAGCCATAACTAGGACTGGCCAATCAGAGCCTTGCCAGGGGTGCGACACAGTAGTCTAAAAACCAGCAGAATTCAGCACCTGGTTAGTAAAAGGAATTGGTTCAAATAGGAAGTTGCCAGTGAGTCCACTTCTTTACTGTGGCCACTGCACCCCAGGTGGACTTTCCTCTCCCTAGAAGGGCTTCTGGTGGGTTTTTGCCCACTGGGTCGTTTGAGCCTTGTTTGAAGGACCTGGTGATACTTGGTTTAGAGAAGAGAGAGAAAGCTTTGGTAGCTGGGTGAATGGTTGTCAAGTCTCACATCCATTAGCCTTGCTCTGCTTGGGTAGAATGAACGGAATTTACAGGCTGCAGGATTAGGCTCAATATTACATGACAAAAAACTTCCTAATTAAAAGCCCTAAGGGCTATGTCAGGAGGCCATGGTTTCTTTCTCACTTTAGGTCTTCAAGGACAGGCTGCAATTGTCTCAGATGTTATAGAGGGGAGTCTTTCTTAAGAGTGGGCTGGCTTCCAAGGCCCTTTCTCAATGTTGGATTCTGAGATTCCATGAGCAAGCATGAGCCTAAAATCCCTACAGACTTGAGTAAGAAAATTTCTCTAGCAGAACCTTAACTCTCCTCTAAATGCTCTTCCTCCCAATTTCATGGTATTCCCATAAATGAAATGCCGGAGTAAGTGTAAGGTTCTCCAATCTTTTCTGGACTTTGCTCCGTGCAATTGCCCTAGCTGCTTGAAAGAGCTATTGGGAGAATCAAATGAGATAATGTATTGCCTAGGGGAGTGGGGGTGCGCAAGGAGGGCTGACCAGAATGATAGAGAAGAGAGAAGAGAGCTTTGAACTGCAGCCTCCCAAAAGGAATAGGCTAGCATGAGGAAGGAAGGGACAAGCCAGGATGGATTAGTTCCATCAGTCTTCTCAAGGAGCATAATTTTGTATTTCCTTAAAGTCAGTAGTCAAAGATGAGTGAAAGAATCACCTATCACCAAGTGATATTAAGCACCTACTATGTGCCATGCTGTGCGATATGTGCTGGGCATACAAATATAATAGTTCCTATGTTCAGGGAGTTTATAGTTTAAAATACATGGGAATAAAGTTCTAGTTCTTCTTGGGGGAGCTTGGAATTTTTTATACTTAAATTTCATCAGCACATCTGAAGCTTCTCTTTTTAATACATACATTTCACCATTGCTTCTCAAATTCTTTTCTTTTAGCCTCCTGTTACCTCTTCTTTCCATTAGCTAGGGGAGTGAGAAGCCATCAGAGAAGGGATATGAGTCACAGGATGAGGAAGGAGGTAGTGGGAAAGAAAAGGGGGGAGTCACTCTTCCTGTTCTTTTCATACCTCCTTCCAATCTCAAAACTTGTTTGAAGTGGGAATACACAAACTCCCTACTGTGACCACCTCCCCTCCACCTCAAAATGTGTCACATATCGTAGGAGGTCATGGAAGGTTGGTTGAATTAACTTAATGGTTTGTGGGGTATGTCGGTGGCTGAGAGCTTTTCGTCATCTTCATCATCTATGGAGAGAAAAGTCTGGGAGGGTTTCTTTTACTCTCTGGCCAAAAAGCATATGCTGTTTACTCTCTCCTGAGCTCCAAGGGGGAGGATCTGAATGAAGATGTCTGCATTTGACTAATGTTAGCAATATTTCCATTAGGAAAGCCAAACTTCTGGAGTAATCCAGTGGCAGCTAGCCCACCCACCCTTCTAGCTTTTCCAGAGCTGTAGATTTCCCTTCATTGGTTGGTTTCAGAGACCAGAGTTTGGACATAATCAGGAATTGAGTCATGATTGTTATGGCTGTACCTTTAGCCATCATGTTAACACACGTCACTGGATGTGTGGCCTCCTCATAGTGGGCCATTAATTAATTTCATTCATTAAGAATGAAACCTGGAAAGAAACATGGGATTGCAGAACTGGAAGTAACCTCAGGGTCTAAATTATCCAAATCATATTCCCCAAAGTATCCCCAGTACAATATGGCTTACCAGGGGTTATCCTGACTTTGGGGGACCAGTGAAGGGTTTTGGACATGGGAATCATGTGATCAGATCATTGTATTAGGAAGATTAATTTATTATACACACCCATACCCACATCTATCTATCTATCTATCTATCTAGTGTGTGCTATATGGAGGACCTCATTCCATTTTAGATAGCTCTAATTTTGAGGAAGTTTTTTTTTTTCTGACATCAAATCTGTATTTGTCTCTTTGTGACTTCCGGCCTTTCCCTTTAGTTCTGCCCTCTAGGACCACACAAAACAAGTCTAATCCCTTTTCCTCTCTAATCCTTAAAGAGGGCTATTATGTCCCCCTGAGCCTTCTCTTCTCCCAGTGGAACATTCCCAGTCCCACCAATATATCTTAATGGCCTCCCCTCTCTGTAAATTGTTTATATTTATATATTCTTATATATGTCCATTCTGTCTTTCTCAAAAGAGCAGTAGTTCCTTGAAAGAATGGATCTCTTTGTTGTTGGTGGTGGTTTTTTGTCTTTGTATTCCTAAGACCTGGCAAAGAATAGGTGCTTAATAAATGTTTGATTCATTGGCTGGTGTAGCATAAACTTGAGGTCCTTCAACATTGTGGATGCCCTGCTCTGGACATTTTCTGGTTCATTGACGTTGTCCCTAAACTGTGGTGCCCAGAACCAAATATGGTCATCCACTTGGGATCTGATTAGGCAGAGGACAGTATGTCTATCTTCTCCTTATTCCTGAATGGGGCCATTGTTTCTGAGGACTTACATTTAACTCTCCAGACTGGAAGAGCCTCAAGGAAAGCTTGACCAACACAACCAGAGATGCACAGAGCATGGCCAAACCAAAAGCCAGGTCAAGGGTTTGTAGAAGCAGGTGGTACTCTTCATAGTGGGGTGGATCCACACATATTGATGGGTATCTCACATAAGGAAAAGGAAACATCACTGCATAACCCAGATAATTGGTTCCAGCAATTCCTGAGAATGAGTAGTAGCAATATGGCCCCAGAAGGGCGGATTGTATAGCAATTGCCATTTGAAGCGGGCATCCGATGACACTCAAGATGGCAAAGGTGAAACTAGCTTCCCACTGAAAAGGAGACAAAGGAATTGTTTGTTATTTTTCATGAGGATTGTTTCCAAATCTTCCTGGTAAACATGAAATAAAACATCCTGGCTTCTCTTCCTTCCTCTTAGTCATGGGAAGGCAAGAGGTTCATTCTTTCCTTCCCAGACCTTTGTATTCTCCTTTCCAATTAGCACCCCATAATAGCTTGGCAGCCAGCAAAGACAAGAGAGGAAGGCTACCTTTAGCCAAAGATCAAGATAGATAGCTTTTTCCTTCTGTGGAGCTTTCACCCTAATATCTGGATGATGGCATCTCTGCTCTTTGGGGGCAAGGGAGACAATGGAGGGAGTCATTCCACTGAGCAACAGATCCTTGAAGATGCATTAATATTAATATGGGCATGATAGGGGCAGGGACTAGACCTTTGATATCACTGGAATAGGGAACTCCCAGATGAGGAAAGTCCCTCTACTACAACAGTTCAGCATCTCCTCTTCTGCTAATAGTGTTAAAGAGTTGCTTAGAATGCCTGGAGGTGAGCTGACCCTGCCCCGGGTCACAGAGACAGTATGGGTCAGAGGTAGGTCATGAATTCAGGTCTTCCTGGCTCCAAGGCCAGCTCTAATAGACATGGAAGCAAAAAAAAAAAGTGTCCTACACTTTCCCCCTTGTGCCCTTGTAGAAAAGAAGTAGTGCGACTTGGGAAAGCACTGGCCTTGGAGTTAGGAAGACCTGGGTTCAAATCCTACCTCTTTAAGCTTCAAGCGACTCTCTAAGACTTATCTAGTAAGTTATAAATGGGTAGCAGTCTCGAATTGGCATTGGTGGAGAAAGTTCCCATGCCTATGAAGGCAACAGCTTCCTGACAGATTGACTCAATAACAGTGAATAAAGTCCAGTGACCTCTCTAGGCCTCAGTTTCCTCATTTGTAAAAATAGGGGATTAGACTAGATGATTTCCAATGTACCTTCCAACTGAAAAACTGTGATCAGATGATAGGAAACTGTAAGGAATAGATAAGAAGTTTGAAAGAAAAATAGTCATTTGAAAGACTTAGATTCTTGTATTCATCCTATACACCATTACATAATTAATTAATCTTCTGCGTGTGCGTATCTAATCATCTGACTCCCCTGCTCTCCATTCTCCAGGAGCTCCTTATTGCCTATTGAATGAAGGGCAAGCTTCTTAACTTCTATCATCTGGCTTCTCCCTTTCAAGCTGCTTACTTACTCTATATGTGGCATACCCTCTCCTCCAGCTCAGATGGACTGTTCCCTGCTCCCAGGGCAAACCTTGTATTTTACCACTTCCATGTTTTTGCATACATGGCCCTTAAAATGCCCTCCGTCAATGGACACCCTGCTCATCCTTTGAAACTCAGCTCAGCTACAGTCTATACCATGGAAACTTACTTGCAACACCCAGCTAGGAGTATCTGTACTTCCTTTGAACTCCTCTAGCTTTTTGAATATACCTCTCTTAGGCACTTAGAACATTCTCTGATATTTGTTTCTAGTTATTTACGGGATCATAGTTGGAAGGGATCTTAGTGATCGGCTAATCCAGTCTCTTCACTCCATTGTGTTGCGTTTAATATTTTATATCCATTACCAGATTACAGACTCTTTAAAGACAAGGAATATGTGTTATTTACATTGGATTTTCTTTAGCGCTTAAAACAGTAGGCATTTAATGTGTTTTTAACTGGATTTAATTAAATTCTGACTCTATCACTCTCTTACTCTGTGATCTTGGGGGAAGGAAAAAGAAAAGAAATAAGCTTTTATCTAGTCCTTATTATGTGCCAGGCACTCTTGCAAGTTCTGTGCTAATATTATTTGATCCTCATAACAACCCTAGCAAGTATATACTGTTGTTATTCCAAATTTACAGTTGAAGAAACTGAGGAAAACAGAGGTTAAGTGACTTGCCTTAGAGTTACACAGTTAGTAAGTGTCAGAAGCTGGATTTTGAAGGAATTGAGATTAGAATAGTGAGTGGTAGTGGGAATTGGGTGAACCACACTGACTCCACATTGTGACTCAATTCTAGCTTGGTTCCCTTTCTACTCAATTGTGAGTCTAGTCCAATTTCTGTCTTGTGAGAAAACTGTTCAATTATGGGAATTGTAAGAAAACCTTATTGTATTGTTTGAACCTGGCCCTGTGTGGCTGGGAAACTGGACCCCTCTACCTGCTACCTAGGGACCCTTAACTAAGGACCTGTCTTATGCTGACCAGATCTGAAGATCAAAGCAAAGGGCTTTCTCACCATTATACATCTCAAGCAGACTCATATATGTTATGTGAAAATTGGCCTGTAATGGTTAATCAGTTATTGTTTCCATGTTCCTTTGATTGAATACTGATGCTTGGGGGGACTGGGATGCCAGTTTTTTTTTTATTTCAAGGAATTGTACCTATTCACTTTTCCCCTCTCAACTTAGAAAGTCCCTAATCTTTCTTCCAATTAGAAATCAGATTACCTAATTTTGTATCCTGGTTAATTGTTTTCTTTTAATTAATTGCTTTTAATGCATAAAAACCTGTTTCCTCCTGTTTGAGGTCCATTCCTAAGCTGAGGAGGCCTGGTCCTGGTTTGTTGAGCATTGGTATGCACTGCTTAATAAATAGATATGCTCAGAACCTTGAACCTTTGTTTCCTCAGTCATTTCATCTGTCATCTGCCACAATTCAAACTTGGGTCTTCTTGACCCCAGGCCCAGTGTTCTATCTGCTGTACCACCTCGTTGATCTTGGGCAAGTTGTTTAATTTCTCTGAGCCCTAGTTTCCTCATCCATAAAATGAGGGGATTACAATAGATGACTTCCGAGTTTCCTCCTAGCTCTAAATCTATAATTCTGTGAACCTACATTCACTGAGCCTAAAACGATGACCTCAGGAAAAGTCATTTCCCTCTGTGGCATAAATAAATACAAAGGAGAAATTCATGGTGGGCATTTTATCCACATTTCCAATTTGGGGGCATTTCTACACCCTGTCTTTGTAATGCCAATTCATATGATCCTAGGATTTTTTTCCTACTTTTATTTGAAAGAAGCAGTACAGTAGATTGATTCGTGCAAGACTTTCAGAATTAATGGTTGAAATAAAGTTTTCTGAGTTAACCCTCAGTTTATCAGAAGATTCGATGAACAGAATTCTTCTTCCTTTGAAGATTGAAGATTTATCTTTAGGAGGGTGATTTTAAAAAAAAAAATGAACCACCTTTGGACATTAGAAGGAATCCCAAAGGTGGAGCACAGGGTAGGGGTCGAGAACCCGAGTTTAAATCCTGCCTTTCTACTTACTACCTGGGTGGTCATGGGAAAGTCATTAATCTTACTGGACCTGGGTTTCCACAGGCAGGTGGAGGGTTGGACAAGATGAATTCCAAGGTCTCTTATAGCTTTATGATTTTGACATCCCCAACCGCTCCATAATAAACACCTGTAAATTTACCAGAGATCTTTGTGTCTGCTTTCTGTGAGCCAAGAGGACAAGAATGCCAACAATAACTACCTGTAAGAAGCAAAATAGAGGAAAAATGTCAGTGAATGAGCTCATGACTAGAAAGGATTCAGTTCATCTCATGGCATATCATGTGCCAGAAAGGGCTACAGATGGCAAACAGCCAAACAGGAGATGTGGATTTAAGGACCCTATGATGAGAAGGAGTGAAATAAACCATCATTGTGGTAAAGGCATAGTTCCTACAGGGATAGAGGGCCACTTCCTGGTTCACCAGGATCCTAAGGTCATAAATGCAGAGGCATCTAGGGGGCACCATGTATAGGGTGCCAGACTTGGAGTCAGGAAGACCTGAATTCAAATCCTTCCTCAGACATTTACTTAGCTGTGAGATCTTGGGCAAGTCACCTAACCCTGCTCAGCTTCAGTTTTCTCATCTATGAAATGGTGATAGCAATAGTTCCTATCTCCCAGAATCACTGTGAAGCTCAAATATAATGAGATTATATATATGTATATATATATAAACACACACACATATATATATATACATATATATAACTTTGCATATCTTAAAGCACCATATAAATGTTAACTGTTATTATTATTAGATATGAAAGTGAACTCAGAGACCATTTAGTACAACCCTCTCATTTGTACAGACTATGGAACTGAGAAAGTCACCCAGGGAATAAGTGACCCATGTAGGATGGTTTCCACCTCTATGGCAATTAAGTGAGATAGCATATATTTTACTTTATAACCTTTTAAATTAATATATCAATATTCTTTTTATTAATGTATTGATTTAATTTTATTGGTATATTAATTCAATATAATAATCATGGACATTCATAGAATCCTTTTTTCTGAGGGGTCCATATACATTATTTCACCAATGTGGGGATCTCCCAGTGTAAACAAACCCTCCACTGGTGCAGAGCAGAAACTCATCTGTAACAGAGTTTTTTGCATGCCAAGAATCTATCCCAGTGTCTGGCACATAGTAGGAATTTAATAAATGTTTGTGGATTGAATGATTGAGTTGGCTGAGGTGTTCAGCAATTTGCTTGGGGTCACACAGTCAGTTTGGGCCAGAGGTAGGACTTGAAGACTCCTATCCATTATGTCAAGCTGCCTTTCTTAAACCTTTTAGCTTTGCAAAATTGTCTGCACACATAATTTCATTTGATCTGCAGCCTCTGGGCCTCAGAAGGGACTAGATTAGATGTTCCCTAAAGTATTCTCCTACCTTGAAGTCTATGATCCTATAACTCTCACAACAACCCAATGAGATAGGTATTTATTGTTGATGATGATGAAGATTCATTTTTAGTCATGTCCAGTTCTTCATGACTGCATTTGGGGTTTTCTTGGCAAAAACGTTGGAAAGATTTGCCATCTCCTTCTCCAGCTCATTTTACAGATGAGGAAACTAAGGCAAACAGGGTTAAGTGACTTGCCTGGGGTCACACAGCTAGTAAGTGTCTGAGGCCAGATTTGAACTTAGGAAGATGAGTTTGTATCTACTGCACCACCTAGCTGCCCAAGGTAGGTGTTATGGATATTATTAGTCCCATTTTACAGACTAAAAAAAAAAAAAGCTTCAGAGATGCAGATTGATGATAGGACAAGGGATTTGATCTCATAAACTCAGGTCTTCCCTGACTTCAAAGTCTCACATTCTTTCCCCTATATCCCATTGCCACCATGTTTTATATTGATTGGTATCGTCATTCCCAGAGAAGATAAGGTAAGTTTGTTGGAGAACACAGAACCGAGAACCAAAGGTAGGATGTTTTTTTCCCCATTTTTGTTCTCTAAGAAACTCTGTAGCCTCTATGGGTTAGGGTAGTATAACAGACTGGGGGACTCTTTCTCATGTAATCAAGATCTGCCATGAAAATCAATTCAGGATGGAGGCTTTGTTGTTTTAGCTTCAACGATGCCATTGCCTTAGAAGGGGAATCCATGTATTCTGTGCCAGCAGGAAGAAGGACTGGGGTGTAGGATAGAGCTCTTTGAACAAGAAAGCGAAAGCTGCATGGGAACTCGGCAAGGGAGAGTCGTTGAGAAATCCTGCCAGTCCTTGCTTGGGTTGAGTACCAGGTATGAAGAGTGGGAGCTCTGTGGTCAGTCAGGCTTGAGACTATTTCTTCCCAACTTACAAATCATGTGTCATGGAATGTTCTGTGGTTGAAAGAGGACCCCGGGAAGAGTTATGCCTGGAACAAGACTGAGAATGTGAGCAGGTCTAAAAATGGCACCACTTGGGCCTCCGTTGGACAGATTGACGTGGCGCTACACGTTGTATCAACAATTTTAAGGAAAAAGGAAATCCAGGACATTGACCAAGCTGGTTTTGCGGCTTGCTGCTTTTATAGACTGACTCTTTCCAGGTCTGGCAGATTTATTGTTTTGAGACCTAGATTTTTATTTTCCTGGCACATTTCATTTTGAATTTTGGATCTGAAGAATTTGCAGATTTTTTTTTTAAGCCTCCTCATGTAGCTGAGCCTAAAAATTCAATATTGGCATGACCATCCTGTAAAGATCCCATGGATAAAAGCTGAACCATCTGTAGTCTTGAGTGGTTACTGGCCTCTCTTGTTCTGCAATTGGAAAGGTTCCCAGGGACCCTATAAGATCTGGCCAGCATAAATAAAACAACCCCAAAACCCAAGTGTGGTCAAGAGCTGCTGTTACACTGATCTTGGGCTAGAGGATGATGATCAAACTCTTTTACAATCAATATTTTCCAAGGAGGACAACCCCAATTCACACTTGATGCACACGTAGTTAATTGAATAAAGAAAATCCGAAGTGGGATACCAGCTGAGGAGGCTCGATTCCCCCCTTAGAGGAGAGAGTCAAGACTCTTGGACGATCAGTTTCCAATTTCCTCTAACTATTTTGGCACGAGTACTGCCTTCTCTTCCCTTCTCAAGCTGGAGAACGCTGTCTGCTTACTGTGGCCTGGTATTTTCAGGCCTCCAGCCTGAATTTTACTTTGTTTATACAGAACTCTGAAAAAGACCTTTCAGGGAGGAGGGTGCAACAAGAATGCAGTGATGAGACTGTAAAGTTCGCCTTGTGGATGGTGCGGGAGGACCTGGCACAGCATGCCTACCGTCTTTAGCATTGGGGCCTGGGAGGGGAGAGCATGGACTGGCCACCCACTTCAACCTGCACTTGAAATTTCCCCCTTTTCCAACTACGTTTCTTTTCTAGGGGGTGGAAGGAGAAGAAATATTAGACTGAAGAGAGATGGGAAAAATCAGAGGAACTAACTCTATGTCAGAAAGGCATCAGTAAGGGGAGATGAAAACATAGGCTATTGAGTACTAGGGGGACCTCAGATACTATCCAACCCTCTCATTTTGCAGATGAGGAAACCGAGGCACAGAGAAGTTACACAATTTGCTCATGCTTTGGGTAGTAAGCGTCTCAGGCAGGATATGATCCTTGTTCCTTTGATTTCAGAGCCAGTGATTTTCCATTGTTCCTCTCCCCACCCTCACTGCCTCCTAAGGAATAAATGTGAGAAATAGAGACGATCTATCTATACACATGCACACATATATACATACATACATACATACATACACACATACATATACACATACATACATATATATTACTATCATTAATACTGATATTAATTTTTGGAGATGGTCATTTTCTATGATTTGAATTAACAAGCTTTTATTTTCTCACCCTCCAGTCTTTCCTCCCCAATCAAAAGAAGAAAAATAGGGCAGCTAGGTGGTGCAGTGGATAGAGCACTGGCCCTGGATTCAGGACGACTTGAGTTCAAATCTGGCCTCAGACACATAATAACGCTTACTAGCTGTGTGACCCTGGGCAAGTCACTTAACCCCATTGCCTAGCAAAACAAAAACAAAAACAAAAACAACAAAAAGAAGAAAAATTAAAAAACAGACAAACCCTTGTAACAAATATGCATAACTAAACAAAATAAATTCCCTCATGGTTATGGCCATGTCCCAAAATGTACTGTGTGTCTCCTTGTGCCCCTTGCATCCATCATCTCTCTGGTGGGCAGTAAGTAGCACCACTGGTCCTCAGGAATGGTGGCTGGTGTTGCAGTGATCTGAGTTCTTAAGTCTTTTGAAGTTGTTTGTCATTGCAATGGTGGCTACTCTCCTGGTTCTGTTCAGTCCACATGAATCGGTTTATGTGAGTCTTTCCAGGTTTCATCCCTTTCATCATTTCTTATGGCACAAAAGTATTCTATTACCATCACAGCCCATAATTTGTTTAGCCAGTGTATCTTTCCAGACATATCTCCTTACTCCCTTTCATTCACTCTACATTCCAAACAAACGGTCTGCCTGCTGTTCACCCATAGATCACGTTTTAACTCTTGCCTTATTCACCTGGATAAAAGGCAAGCTGGTCCTAGGAGCAGACAAAACAGGTGAGTAATTACACACTGTGACTTGAGAGGCTGTCAAAGATTCCCTCCTCCATTGGCCTGCCAGAAATTTTTTTTGTGACATTTTTTGGGTTTCAGGATTATTTCCCCAGGCATCTCCCACTAAATGGCTAAAAGATAATAGCTACATGTGTTGTGTGGAAGAAGTAATGTATTAATTCATTGGCAACCATTAACCCAAGAGCAGAGATCCAGCTTTTGGACTAACTGTCAGCTTGCTAAAAAAAAAAAAAAGGATAACTTGGGACGTGGGATAGTTTTGATATGGGAGCCTGGGCTGGGAAAGGTCTCTACTTTAGAGTGTTACTTGGGAAGCATTATTGCTTTGTGCAGGCAGCACTCACCTACTGTCCTTTTGCCTCTCACCCATTTCATTCTTACATTGTCTCCTTTCTGCCTTCCCAGAGTTGTGAGCATAGGTTCTGTTCCTTTAATATATCCCCAAGCCTGTGAGGCGGGGGTGAGGGTGGGAGTAGAGGGTGGGAAAGGCAGCAATGACCTGGGTTCAGAGCAGCTGCCCAATCCTGGTTTCCTTGGGCCAAAGGCAGTTAAGCTCCAAACTTGAAACTTGAAAGGAATGGAAAGCCAAAAAAAAAAGTAAAACAAACACCAACTTGTAATCAGCTGTAAATCATTTCTCTCTCCCTTTTTTCTTTCTTTCTCTCCCAGACACAAAAAGGCTCACTGAAGGCAATTTTCACATGGAACTGAGGAATTGCTGAAAGGAAGGAAGGAATGTTAGGCATTGTTAAGTCCAATTCAGTTCGACACTCGTTGCTGTGTGATTCTGAGGAAATTATTGCAGTGAAAAAGGGCTAAGAATCCCAAAGATTCACTTAATGAAGGTCACTGATGGGGCAGCAGAACAAGACCCAAATGTTTGTTTAATCCCTTCCTCCCACCAGATGCCCCATCATTGTTTTAGCTAGTGGGGGAAAGCAAACTGGTGGTGATGGGGAATTATCAGAGTAAATATGGTAACTTGGGGTTTGCATGGCCGCAATACCCCCAAAAGAACTCAAAGCATTTTCCCAGAATGGTGTAATCAGTTTCCCAGGGTCTAAACTACAATTTGGGGAGAAGTTGCCTTTTATAATTCAGATTAACCCTTTCTACAGGCAGTATGGCATTAAGGATAGAGGGCCAACTTTGGAGTTAGGAAGACCTGGGTTCCAACCTACTTCTGACACGTAAAGGCTGTGTGACCCTGGGCAAGTCACTTAATCTTTTCAATGCCCCCAAAAGACTCTCTAAGACTATAAATTGCACAAAAGTTTCTGATCTGCATTGATATAAAGAATTTCCACAGTAAAGATTCCTTATGCTAGTGAAATCAATGATCTAGACTCCTATCTCTATCTATTTCTCTTTTCCCACCCCCTCAATAAGTAACTCATTCAGGCCACTTGGTTACTAAGTTACAGCTTAAGTATCCTCAATAACAATGTGATAAAAATTAATGTAGCTTCCTAGTACAAGTTGATACTGGGAGAACCTGACCCACTGCCTCCTTAATTCTTACAATGTCCTGAGTCAATTGGCTAGCTAGCATACAGAGCATTTGGCACCTCAGTTTCTCTATCAAGAAAAAAGACAGAAAAGTCCCACAGTGAGCTTGGACTAGCTCAGGTTTCTTCTGTCTAGCCTAAGGCTCAGATTTCAGGATTTTATTTATTTTCTCCCTGCTGTTTGTTTTTTAGTGACTGATCTTTCCTATAGCCTAGCTCAAGGAGTCTGGGAAAGGACCCTGATTGTATAAGAGGGCAGAACAAAAATATGAGAACCCAATATGTGTGAAGCATTCAAGAACTTTGACTCTTACTAGCAATTCGATGATGGGGAAGGCATCTACCCTCTCTGAACCTCACTTTCCTCACCTGTATAATGGGGATAGGATACCTGTAGTAGGGATAATAAAATCTACTTCATAGGTTTGCTCTGAGATAATACATGGCACAGGGAAAAGACCACCAGCTCCCAAGTCAACAGACCTGAGTTCAGACTCAGTGCTGCCATTATTCCTTGTGTGACCTTGACCAAGGTCACTTAGCCTCCCCAGACTTCAGTTTCCTCATCTGTAAAACGAAGGGATTGGACTAGATCTCAAAGATCCCTTCAAGCTCTAAATCTGATTCTATGACCTTAGAGCCCTATCTAAATACCAATTACTCTTACCTGTCTGATGGGGATGGGGAAAATGTAAGGACCAATATTTGTGACGGGGGCTTGTAGATCCTTGAATAAGAGATTACAAAACATTGGAATAACAAGCCTGCTTCCTCTGGTCCATGAAGAGGTTGGTGATCCATTGGCAAAAATCAAAATCAACATAATAGAAATGTATACTTAATGTCAATAAGGGCATTTGTGAAGTCAAGATCAGTAGGTGACAATAGGAAGGGGAAGCTGTCAAAATGGTGGGGTGTCTTTTAAAAGGCATTCAATAGAGGAGTCATTAGGGCAAAGGTCAGACTGTTAAAATAAGACATTGTTGGAGGAGGGAGCATGCTAAATGCTTTTTGGGGGGTGATCCCCCATTCTCCACCACCTCCCCAACCTTGGCTTATTAGAAACCTAGGCTGGTATGTAGCTTTTAGGCTTTATTTGCACTAAGAATAGAGCAGTCTCCTTGAGTGAAGAGGAGAAAGCTTGTGTTGTATTTGTGTGTGGGGAGGGGTCGTATGGGAAGATTCACATAGATGGTCCAGAAACAAAGGTGGGAAAAGTTCCATAAATAACAAGGGATTTGGGGAAAGGGTTCTAAATGAAGGCAGGATAGAGGAGAGGAGATAAGGATGGAGGTCGTATGGTGCATAAAGGTAACACGGCACTGCATAAAGAGTGAAGAATAAAGAATCCAGCCCAGGCTCTGGACACAAACTAGCTGTATGACCTTGGGCAAGTCACTTTTGCTTCTCTTCAATAGTAAAAGGAGAGGACTAGATGTGGTGTCCTAGAAGGTCATGATTATGATTTTGTGAATCAACATCTATTTGTTGTCTGCTATATACAGGGCTCTATGATAGACATCATGAGGGATATGCAAAACCTAGGCTATGATTAAACAGATGGTAGCTCAAGTGGTCAGAAGGAGAAGGGAGCTAGGAACTGCCATATTTTCTTATTGGCAGAGCTAGTCCTAGAGAAAATTGCTAGGTAGAGATTGTTTTTCCATCTCCTATTTCAGGGACATTCCTGTCACCCCAAGTCCTGGTCTGGGGTATTGAGGTGGTAAGTGGATAGAGTGCTGGACCTGGAGTCAGAAAAGAGCTCAAATCCAGCCTCAGACACTTATTAGTATTTGACCCTGGGCAAGTCACTTAACCACTCCATGCCTCAGTTTCCTCAACTGTAAAATGGGAATAATAATAGCAACTACCTCCCAGGATTGTTGTGAGATAATTTAATTAAATGAGATAACATTTGTAAAGCACATAGCACAGGACCTGGCGTATAGTAAGCACTTGATAAATGTTTGTTCCCTTCCCTTTTCCCATACCCTTGCCCACTCATAAACCCATCTTCTGAATAGCAGCTCAAGGGAGACTTCTTCAGGAACTTCAGTTAGATATGTTCAATTGCACAATTATTTATTAAGTACCTACTTATGCTGGCTATCATTATGTTCAAGGTCCTGGGCATAACAAGAGCTAGACTTTATATAGCGTTCTGAGATTTGCAGAGTGCTTTGTATATATTAACTCATTTCATTCTCACAACAACCCTAAGAGATAGGGGTTATTTCCCCCATTTTACAGTTGAGAAAACAGAGGCAGCCAAAAGTAAAGGTGACTTGCCCGGGATCACACCCAGCCGGTAAGTATCTGAGGCTGGATTTGGGTTTCCTGACCCCAGGCCTGGTGTTCTACCCATCGCACCTAGCTGCCAGAAGGTGATTAGAGGCCATTTTATAGATGAAGGAATTGAGGCCCAGAGAGGGAAAGGGACAATCCCAAGGTGACAAAGTTAGTAGCAGAATGAGGATTGTGACCCAGGCTTCCTTCCTCCCAGCTGAGTGTTTCTGCCACTATGACTCAGAAGCACAATGAAACTTGATATCTGTCATAGCAGAATGACAACATTTCGGATTTGGAAGGGACCAAATCATGCCTGGAAAACAATCCCCTCTTCAACACTCCACAAATGGGATATCAAGCCGAAATTTGTCTCTTTCTAACTTTTCCTCATTGTTCTCCATTCTCCTCCCTGGGGCAAGGTTAAACCACCTTTCATATGGAAGCCCTTCAGATACTAGACGACAGCGATTATGATCCCCCTAAGTCTTCTCTCTTCCAGCTTAAACACCCCCAATTCCTTCAACTGCCCTTCACCCCTCAGAGCATGGCAAAATCCCAAAGTGCCTTCAAAGCCAAGTCAAATCATCCAGTCAAGATGAAATTATGCTCAGTGGGACTGTAGCAGTGTGTATTCCTCTCTCTTATTTTTATTACTTTTTTCATATGGTTTATGCTTATATTTTCAAAATTAATATATCAGGAAATAAACTCTAAGAATATCTCAGAGCGTCTATTTAGGGGGGAAAAGAGATGGAATAAATCAAACAGCTTTTCAGACTTACTGGAATAATCAGTTATTATTTGCTGCATTAAATAAAATGGAAGCATCCAATTAGGCCAGTAATTATAAGAATGACATATTTCTATTTTAGTCAATTTTAGTCAATGATCTCCAGTTGTGGCACTCACCACAATTTTACCTTATGAACATTATATAGAATTTCAGGAGGTCTTTCTGTCTATTACATTTAATAAAACATGAGTCCTACCAAAGCTCCATTCCAGATGGGACAAGCGATCCGGGCACTCCATCCAGTGAACCAAATCTTGTAGGAAAATACTGGGAAGAAAGCGAAAATCCCAGAGAATATGCTCAGTATTCCAGAGATGATAAGAACCAGGCTGGCATATTGGAATGGACTCCTCATTTTTCCTGAGTCTAGAAGCTCAAAAATGTTGCGTCACCAAAGCTTGGCTTGAGGTGTGTCTTTAAACAAACGTCTCTTAGATGCCGTAGTCATGGCACTTAAGCTACCAACTTCTTGGGAAAGGAGAGATTCTCTTTGTACCCTTTCAAAGGTCATAGTAGGCAATAAACACCACATTCTTCACAAAGGTAACAGGACTTGGTCTGATTCTAGTGTGTTTTCAGCTACAGAGAGAGAGAGGAAGGCTGAGAGATGGGAGGAAGACAAGTAGAGGGACAGGGAGAGAGAGAGAGGGAGGAAGAGAAAGAGAAAACCTGTGAGAAGAAGGGGCTAGGGAGAGGGAGACAAGAAAAAGAGGCAGGAAGAGAGGTAGAAAGATGACAGGAGAAGTAAAAGGGGAGAGGGAGAGAGAGAAGCAAAGAAGTGATGAAGAAGAGGAGAGAATAGAGGGAGAGAGAAAGAAAGAGGTGAGGAAGAGGAGGAGAGACTAGAGGGAGAGAGAGAAGAGAGAAATGAGAAAGAAGAGAGGAAAGAAGGAGAGACAGGAAGGCAGAAGAAGGGAGAGAAAAGGGAGAGGTGAAAGAGGAGAGAAGAAGGAGAGAAAGGAGGAGGAGAGGAGAGGATCTAGGGAAAAAGAAAGAGAAAACAGAGGGGGGAAACAAAGAGAGCAAAGGAGGGAGGGGGAGATAGAAAGAGATGAAAGTGGAAGGGAGGAGGAAAGTAGAGATGAAAAGAAAAAAGAGGAGATGAGGGAAGGTGAGAAAAGGAGCAAAGAGGAGAGGGCAGAAAGAAAAAGAAGCAAGAGAGGAGAAAAAGGAAAGAAGCAGAGAGAAAAGAAAGGAAATAAGAGAGGAGAGAAAGAAGGAAAAGAGATAGCTGGACTACTGGGTATTTTTAGAGACTCCGCCATTATTTTATCCTGTCCTGGTCTGGTCAGTGGCCACTTCCTGGCTCAGTCAGACGGGAAGATTTGCTGACTCCAGTTGCTGTTTCTTCTTCCTTCATGAAGCCCTACATAAATCAACATTTACAATCCAGCTTCCCATAAAACAGGCAGCTCAGACCAATTTTCTGTGCATTCATGTTTTACAAGTACCAATCACTTGAAGCCAGGGCAGTCTTCCTCCACCTTACTGGCTCTCACCATTTTTGCATCACTGGATAAATAGAAGTGGATTCATCCTAAAAATGGGTTTAGTCTATTAAAAAACTCTTATATGAAAGTTTCACCATTGAGCTCTCCACCACTAAATGTTATAAATTCCCTTAATTTAACCAACTATGGTGATTTCATTTAATGGGCCTCTCTTCAAACTAATTTTATTCCATGCCCAGTTACCAAGTGAAGGGCATAGAGATATAGGACAAATGACAATTCTGAGCCATGATTTCACTGGTGAAGAAAACACTTCTGTTTTCATCTATTCTTGGATCAAAACTCAAGTTTTAGCTGCCGTAGCTTATGAACATTTGAACCATTCTCTGTTAGCTTTTCAGGTAAGGTTATGCCCACGTGGAGATGAAAACACTGAGATTTAGTCTGAAATCATTCACAAGGGCTAGGGGGTTGGGGCTTTGTCCCAGAATGGTGAACTTAAAGGCACTCATAGCACATCAAGTCAAACAATGGAGCTCAGTACCTGGTTTGGAAGAAGACAATTAAATGTTTAATCATTTCGGTTGTGTCCAACTCTTGGGGTTTTCTTGGCCAAGATACTCGAGTGTTTTGCCATTTCCTTCTCTAGCTCATTTTACAGACGAGGAACTAAGACAAACACATTAAGTGACTTGACCAGGATCACACAGCCGGGAAGTGCCACAGGTCAGATTTGAACTCAGGAAGATGAGACTCCAGGCCTGGTACTCTGTGCACTATGGTGCCACCTAGTGGCCCCAAAAATAGGAAGCTACCATATGGCAAACTGGGGTAAGGGAAGGGGAGATCTTTCATCACCTGTTCTGCTTCCCTCCAGCCCTCCTGAAACCTTACCCTCCCTCTTCTTTTCATTCCCCTATGAAAATAAAGATGTGCTTCATGCTTATTATTTCAGGTAGAGTTTGTGGTCATCCACTGCTTCATGCATACTCAGATATGCCTTTATGCAAGGCCCTTCCTAAGTAACTGGTACCCTTTCTTTCTTGAAATGACTTTGCATTAATGAACATATATATACACACATAAACATACATACATACTACATGTATAATATGCATATACGTGCACATATATGTATCTATGTATTTAGTGTGTGTTTGTATTGACTTCTTTGGACTCTCAAGGAATCCCTCTGCCTCAGTTAGACTGTAAGCTCCTTCAGGGCAGGAACTGTACATTTGTTGCTATTGTTTTTCCTGATATCCTCAGAGCCCAGAGCAGCACCATATTTTTTTTCTTAACTAGACTTACGATTTCACGAGTTCAGTGAAATCCAGGTTAAGAATTTAATGGATGGCAGAATCATGTACTGTCAGAAAAGCCTTTCAAAGGCTATTGAGTCTGACCCACACCCATAAGGAATCCCCACTCCAGCATAACCAATGTGTGGCCATGTAGCTTCAGCTTGAAGACCTCTTAGGAGGGGAATCCCACCAGCTTCCCTAAACATCCCATTCCAGTTTGTGGCAGCTCAAATTGTGAGGAAGCTTGTCCTGGTCTCTTTTTGCCACTGTTTCTGCCCTCTAGAGCTAACGTGAACAAACCTTGTCCTCTTCCAGTAGCCCTTCAGATACTTGAACATAGGCATCAAGCCTACCCAAGACTTCTTTTAATCAAGCTGAACATCCCTAGTTCCTTGCTTCTTCAATGAGTGAAATGAGTGAACGGCTTCCTTGTTACTGATAGCGTACGACATCCGTCTTTAAAATGAATTCCACTTTCTAAAGAGATTCTGGATGAAATATTCTTTCTCTGCTCTGTTAATGTTCTTTTCACAAATAACTTCCAAGATGAACATCCCATCTTTGGCATTTTTTGGGGGAAAGAGAAGTCAAGAAGTTTTTATTAAGTGCCTTCTATGTGCCAGGCACTGTGCTGTGATTTACAAATATTTATCTCATTTAATCTGCTGGTATTCCTTGAGTAAAAAGATTATGTATTTATCAATGTGTACAGTTATTCAAGATGAGGGAGACTTTCACCTGATCTTGGAAAAATAATTAAGAAGCCAAAAAGGAAATTTCAAGTCGTTTTTTAAACCTAGGATCAAGCTGATATTATCAAATACGAAAAAGAACAGTTAGTTTCAATGTCACATAAACTGTTTGCAAAAATAGGAAAATTAGGGAGATGAGGGAGACTAACAAATTTCTTCTATGAGACAAATATAGAAAAACAGATACCTGAACCAGAGAGAGATAAAGTATAAAAAGAAAAAATGTGGATCAATATTCCTAATGAGAATTGATGTCAAAATAATAAATAATATATTAACAAAGGGGTTACAACACCATACTGAAAAGCTTTAACGAAATGATCAGGATGGTTTATATGAGGAATGGTTTTTACAAGGGTTGTTTTGATAGTAATTAAGTTTAAACACAAAAGACCACAAATAATAACAAAACCAATAATATCACATGATTATATCCATGGCTGCAGAAAACCCTTTTGACAAAATACAACATGCATTTATATTTCAAAAAATTAGAAAGCTTAGGAATCAATGGACTTTTCTTTAAAAGGGTGAATAACAGCTATGTAGAATCAGGAGTTAGGATTATCTGTAATGAAGAAATGCTAGGGGGCCCATCTAATAAAATGAGAGGACAAAACTCAGATATCATCTCTCACCACTATTATTTCACACAGTTCTAGAAATGAAAATTATAGAAATAAGACAAGAAAAAAAGAGAAGAGATATAGGTAATGAAGAAGCAAAAACTGACACATTTTGCAGATGATATATTAAATAACCTTAGTGATTGAATTTAAAATTAGCAGCTTCAGTAAAATAGCAGGATATACAATAAGCTCACACAAATCATCTCCTTTTCTATATATCAGCAAAAATCCCTAAGACAAAACCCAAAAAACAAGAAGAGACATATTCCATTCAAAATAACTGTAAGATTGTATGAAATATCTTAGAATCTATTTACTCAGACCATCAAACAATTAATGAGTGCCAGACACTGTGCTAAGAGTTGGCAATGCAAAAAGAGGAAAAAAAAGAGTCCCTGTCCTCAAGGAGCTTACAATCTCATGGGGGAGACAACATGCAAATAAATATATACAAAGCAATCTATATACAGGATCGATAGGAGATAATTGACAGAGGGAAGGCACTGGAATTAAGAAGGGATAGGGCAGGCTTCCTGTAGAAGGTGGGATTTTAGTTGGGACTCAAAGGAAGCCAGGAAGGTCAGTAATTTGAGCAGAGGAGGGAGAGCATTCCAGGCCTGAGGGGCAGCCAGAGAAGATGCCCAGAGCTGAGAGCTGTTCTTGGAACAGCCAGAGGCCAGCGTCACTGGATTAAAGAGTAGGTATTGGGGAGTGAGGTGTAAGAAGACTGTAACTGTAGGAGGGAGCTAGGTTATGAAGAGCTTTGAATTCCATGTGGAGTATTTCTTGTTTGCTCCTGAAGGCAAGAGGGAGCCACTAAAGTTTATTGAGTAAGGGGGTGCCGTGGTCAAATCTGCATTTTAGGAAAATCACTTTACTGGCTGAATGGAGGTTGGACTGGAGTGGGGAGAGATGGGAGGCAGGCAGACCCACCAGTAGCCAAGGTGGTACCAGTGTCAGAGAAGAGAAGGGGGTGTATTGAAAAGAAGTTGCAAAGGTGAAACTGACAGCCCTGGCAATAACTTGGCTATGAGGGTGAGAGAGTGAGAGATCTAGGATGACTTCTAGCTTGTGAGCTTGAGGGACTGGGAGGGTGCTGTTGCTGTCTACAGTAATAGAGAAGGTAGGAACAGGAGGACACACACAACTATTATGAGAATACAAATGCCAGCCATTCTTACAGAAATAAAGGGAAAATTAAACAACTGGAGAGATATTAACTACTCTTGTAGGACCATGCCAGTAGTAAGTGATTAGAGCTTAAAACTGCATTGAGACTTTTGGAACAACCTGTCTAACAAAACTTACGATCTAATCTAAATTAATTTAAAGATTCATTCTCATACCAATCAAACCACCAGAAAGTTGTTTTGTAGAACTAGATGAAATAAAAACAAAATCCAACTGGAAGAAAAAAAGATCAAGAATATTAAAAGAAAGTAATGAAAAAAAGGGGTAGGGAGGGGTAAGGAAAGGGACCTAGCAGTACCAGATCTTAAAATATACTACAAAGCAATAATTATTAAAATCTTTTGGTTTGGGCTATGAAATAGAAAAGTGAATTGGTTGGACAGATTAGGTTCACGGGACCAGAAACAATTGAACATAGAAGTATAGTGTTTCATAAACCCAAACACATTCATTTTATCTGCTACTAGGAGTAACGGTGATAGATAGAAAAGGTTGTTATACACACACACACACACACACACACACACACACACACACACACACACACATATATATTATATGTATGTATAACATATATATAATACATACATATTTAAGTGTTTATGAAAAGAATACCTTTCATAACTATGGAATTTGGGAGAGCACTTGACCAAACAATGGAGAAAGATGTTCACAGAAGACAAAATGGACAATTTTAATTATGTAAAATTGAAAATTTTTTGCATAAACAAAATCAATGGAGTTAAAATTAGAAAGAAAACAGTTAGCTAGAAAAAAATCTTAGTGGCAAATTTCTCTAATAAAGGTCTTATATCCAAGGTATACAGAAAATTTACACAAATACATAAGAAAGAAAAGCTAATTTCCAATTAATGATTAGATGATGTAAACAGAAAAAGACATATCAGCTATCAAAAATTATATGAAAATTGCAAATCGCTAATAAGAAAAATGCAAACTACAACAACCCTGAGTCTCTACCTTACACTTGTCAGACTGGTGAATATGGAAAAAGAGGAAAAGAATTGTTGGAAGACAGGCATAATGCACTGTTAGAGCTGTGAATTGATCCAGTTGCTCTGGAAAGTAATTTGGAACCATACCCCCGAAGCCACTTAACATAGTCTTCGACCTGACAATAGCACTATGAGGCACAAACCCCCAAAAAATCAAAAAGGGAAAGGAACTATGTGGAAGAAAATATTTGTAGAAACACTTCTTGCTGTATCAAAGAGCTGGAAACTAACTGGGTGCCCATCAACTAGATAATGGCTAAAAGATTATACGAATAGTGTAGTATGGTATAAAATATTTCTGCATGATAAAAACAGCAAAAGGGATGGATCCAGAGAAGCACTGGAGGTCTTGTATTCACTGATGAAGAATGAAGAACCAAAAGAATTTATGCAATGACTACAATAATGTGAAGAAAGACTGGAACTCTGATCAATCAATGCCAATCAATTACTTCAAAAGACAGATGACGAATTGCTTGTCATCTTTTGGAAGAAAGGTGATGGACCGGAGATGCAGCTTGAGAGACACACTTTCAAATCATACTCAATGTGGGAATTTGCTTTGCCTGAATATTCTTATTTGTTAAGAGGGAGAGCTTTTATTTTATTTTTTTGGATGACGTGTAAGGAGGAGCCACCAGTGAGTGGGTGGTGATAGTAATAGCCTCCCAAACAAAGAGAAAAGAATGAAATAAGCATCAATGCACCATTTTTAAAAAGGAGAAGACAGGAGAAGGAAGTTCAGAAGGTGACATAGAGTAACAAGGAGTTATTGATACTCTCATTCTAAATTTATTTTAGAATAAATAATGAGTTCATACATAATAGAGATTTATGGCTTCATATAAAATTCCCTTTTATATTTTTTGTTTATGGAAACTTTTGTGTTTTTGATGTTTGTTAATTCAATAATTCAAAAAAAGAAAATATCATAAAATGTCCTTCTTTGACACTGGGGGATCAGAAGAATGCCCTTATAGAGATATAAGTAAAACATTTAACAAATTCTCTCATGCTATTTTTGTGGTTGTAATGGAGGTATGCAGACAACAGTACAATTACCAAGGTGTATCTAGGATTGCTTCAATGGCCATATGTGAAGAGTAACATTAATAGTTGAAGTCAACTTACCTGGGGTCTCTAGTGAAGTGCCCTATGGATCTGTCCTTATTCCTGCATGGCTTATTATTTTTTGTCAATGGTTAGCATAAGAGTATAGATAATAAAGTCATATTTATAGACTACATCAATCTAGGAGGGAGCACTGATACTTTATATGACAGGCAAGTCTCCTCAAAATCTGAAAAAGCTGCAACATTGGACTGAATCTAATATGAAATTTAATAGGGTCAAATGCAGTCTTATACTTGTGGGTTGTTTTTGTTTTTTAAATCAACTTTGCAAATATGAGATGGAGTAGTTGGGATCAGATACCAATTTGTCTAAAAAAAATCTGGAGGTTTGAAGAACACTATAAGTTCAACATGTGATATGGTAGCTAAAAAAACCATATTAGGTATAAAAGCAGAGCTATAGAGATAGCAAGGCTTAATGGATAGAATTCTAGGCTTCAAATCAGGTTCAAATCCTGTCTCTGACACTTGTTAGCTTTGGGACCTTGGACAAGTCACTTAATTTCAATGGACATCCGCAGATTTGGAAGGAGTTCCCATGCTGGGATTTCCACACACTGAAGAAATTACCCATTGCATGTCTGCTTTGCATAATGTCCAGGACTAGGAAGGTGATTCTTCTTGCTGAGGGAAACATGTCTACACACAGCTAGCGTTGGAAGAGACTTCAGAAATCATCTCGTTTAATCTTCACTGGAATACGAGCTTATGTAACAATAAACACTCCTTACAAGGGGTCATTTCAATCTTTCCTTTAGCCAGTAATGTGATGATAAATGCTTAACAACTGGCTCTCAAAAAAAAGTTCCCACGACACATTTTTTTTCCCCTGGGCACATTTTAAAGTCTATCTGCATGATTAATATTTTCTCCATCACTTTCCTAAGTCGAGATAATCCACAAAACAATAAACCAAGCCCTGATTTACAGCATTTGCCGACTTCTGAGGTGTGAATGCTCACACTGAACATTTAACAATTGGAGCCCAAGCTGGCTCCAGCATAGCCCTACCTCTAGGCTGCTATCTCCCCATTTTACTTGTGGATGACTTTCTTTGTTGGGAAGTTTTTCTTTACATTGATCCTACGTCTGCCTCTTTGTAATGTCTAACTATTACTCTTTGGCTTAAGCCAAGCAGAATAAGCTTAATTCCTCTGTCGAGTGACCTATACTTCTTAAATTTGAACTCAGCTGTTATGGTCCCCTGACTTATCTTTTCTCCAGGCCATACACCCTCAGCTCCTTCAACTGATCCTTATCTAGCATGATCTTAAGGCCTTTAACCATCCTGGCTGCCCTCCTCTGGACATTCTTGAACTTGTCACTGTCCTTCCTAAAATGTGGCTCCCTAAACTGAACATGATACCGCAGATATTGTCTGACTAGGGCAAATGATGTAGAGACGATCACTGCCCATACACACACTGTGATTTTATTAATGGGGCATACATTGCATTATCCTTTTGGGTTTCTATAAGTTTCCATCAATAGAGATGACTACAAAATACTGATTATTGGGGGACAACATGGTTGTGTATTTTTCACTATAATTTTCTTTTCAAATAGCATTAATTCAGTTTTATTTTTGTAGCAATAAGTACATTGACAATATATATATTAGACAAGATCTTAGGCCTTGGCATTTTCTAAAAGACAGCAGGATAACTTTGAACTGTTATAAGTCAAAACCAAAAGATCTAGAAATATCTGGACCCACCCTCTTATTTTACAGACCAGAAAACCAATGCCTGGAGAAGAGACTTGCCTAAGGACACCCAGCGAGTGTGTGGCATGGCTCTGATGAGAAGCCAGGCTGTTTAACTACAAGTCTTTCCTCCCCACCAAAGAGAGTGGAAGCTCCTTGAATCAGGAAGCACTTTGTTTGGTCACCAGTCAAGATGCCTGCCACATAACGGTCGTAATTTATTGAATAATAAATTCTTGTAAATTGAATTAGATACTTTCTTTCCTCTATTTGTTATCCCATCCTTCTCCATTGTTTTTTGCTTTCTCACCTTGACTGTGCTCAAGAGAATTGTGGTCCCAAGATGTGCAGCACGACTATGTTCATATAACAGAGGACAGTGTTGGGGAAAAGCTAGGGATCTGCCCAGGGCCTGGAAAATTAAATGTGTGAACCAACAGACCAGTGAAAGTGGCTAAGTCCAGAGCAGGCATGGCGGACCCCATTCATGACCATGCCTAAAATGTAGTCCTGGACAGGGGTAAGGGATACAAGGAGTCACAATAGAAAGATGGAGAGTTTGGAGAATTAGCCTGAATCAGACAAATGGTCCGGTCCTTACATGTTGACTTCTTGATCCTCCCCAGCCCTGAGAAGCAGGGCCAGTAGCAGAGCTTACATTTCTTTTAGTCTCTCGGATATAATAATAATAATCATAACAATGATGATAATAATAATAACTAGCATTTATATAGCACCTACTATGTGCTAGGCACTGTGATAAATACTTTACAAATTTTATCTCATTTGATCCTTACAACAACCTGGGGTAAGGGGATGGGTTCTGTTATTATCCCCATTTTACCAGTGAGGGAACTGAGGCAGACAGAAGTTAAGTGACTTGGCCAAGACCACAGCTAATCAGTGTCAGGGGCAGGACTGGAACTCAGGTCCTCCTGATTCCAGGCTCTGTACTCTAACCGTTGCACCACCTAGCTGTCCAGATTTAATCTAGTAGATGTTTATTAAGCGTTCCTTATGTGCAAAGCCCCTTGCTTGGTAAAGTGATTATTTTCCCTAACACAATATATAGAGAGTTCTCCTGGGCATAGAAATGGTGTGGACTGGATAAATATGGCACAATAAATATAATCTCCCTCAATCTCTTTTCCTCATCATGATCATTTTAGAATAAAGAAAGATTTGCCTCTACATTGATTCTTTGCCTTTTGATTTAAAGTCTGCTCTGGTGGAATCATCCAGTTTGATCTCTCTGTGGAACACTGAGGGTACTGATGCCTTGGAAAAAGTTGGCTGTGTGCTGATTATGTTTCAAGCTGATGAATACGGCCTTTCTAAGTGGCTCTCCACGTTAGCTCTCTGGAGGGCCATAGGCACAGTCCTGTGGGAGGTAGGGGATAGATTAAAATATGCCTCTCAGTCTTGTCTTAACAGAACTCCACTGTTTCTCCTGATAAAACTGTTACTAACATGTGCTGTGTGCTGGACAAACCATGGCATGTCAGTACGGCTGAAAATCAACTTCAGATTTGGGGGGAGTTTGATTTGGATGAAAAGGAGCTCATCTTTACACACTTGCTTTACACACATTTTCTTTGATCCTTGTGACAACCTTTTGAGGTAGGTACTACTGGGGTTACTATTCCCATTTTACATACAAGGAAACAGAGGCTCAAGGAGATAAAATGTCTTATCCACTATCACATGGCTGCCAAGTGTCTGAGATGGGATTACAACTCAGGTCTTCTTCATTGCACTGCTTCTCCCAGTGTGACCTTTGGTCTCATTGATGTAGGCAATCCATCCCAAGGGGCAGATTGCAACCCATCCATGCCTTCTTATCGTGTGTAGTTCTTCCATAAATGTACACAATGAGCCGGAAGCCAATGTCTAGGTCTGTGGTTATTTTCTGGATACCCGTGCAGTCCTGGGGCGGCCCATTTGTTCTTCTATGTACTCTCCACAAGACCAGTCCACCTCCTTTCCTTGTCCACAATGTCCTTAACGATGTCTTCTATACCACTTCTCAAAAGTAAGCAAATACTCATTGGCCAGGTTGCAGCTCACTCAGACCTGCCATTTGTGCATTGGGTTACTTCTAATTCTGATTCTTCTGCAAGGGTATTGGATGAAGGAATGAAGAGAAAGTTCTTTGCAAATCTCCAAGTACCATATAGTTGTGAGCTATTATTATGATGATTATGACTGCAGTGTTCCATGATTTCTAATCAAATAACGTCCTCAGGAGCATTTAGGTGTTTAAGAAGGTGGGCTTTTGCCGTGGGGCAAAAAATCACGGCGTCTGAAAATGCTGGATGCTCTCAGATGGGATTCAGCTCCTTAAGAAAAGAACAAGATGGAAAGATGCTAAGTATGATTGTTCCACCCTGACTTATTTAAGTAAGCAAATGACTCTGAAAAATGTTTTGGTCTGTTGCTGAAGCTCTAGGTTGACATAGATAAATAATGTGTAATATTGGCAGTTCCTTAACAATGATGGACTGTGGCTCATGCCCCCACCCTAGGTATCTTCTGGCAAAAGCAACATTGGGTTCGTGTTTCTCCAAGGACCTTCACTCCCACACAAGGATTCAGATTAATGAAATATATATGTATATTGGATACCTTTTTTTTAACCTGACAAAAACCACAAGTGACTCATACCTGAGCCCCTAAGTGAACAAGACATTTCCTCTTCTGTCTCTGATGAACTTTTGACTTCCCCAGTGAACTATGTGGGCTTCCTGACTTATAATGTCACCCTGAGTGGGGGGGTGTGTGTGAGAAAATTTAAGTAGTTGCAGGATCAAATATCCCTCTCCTCTGGTCAATACCACCTTCCCCAGTGATACATATGTTCCTTCTGACCACTCTCCAGACTTGGCCTTCTGACCAGGGGAAGGATCTCAAGTGACCTTTTGGCCCTCGTGACTCACAGTGTCAGTAAAGGAGTGGGCCTAGGCTGCTCTTCCGAGTCATGGCTCCTCGCTGGGCCAAGCCTAACTTTTTATTGTGTTTCTGTCTGCTAATATCTCTTTTTCTCCTTTCACATCTATCTGTTGCTTCATCTGATTCTAGCTTCTTTTCTTCTGGGAGGCTCAATGTTTCTCTGATGTACAGTATGGATTTCTGTATAATTTTACCATGCAGTTGTCTGTCCAATCTTCACCTCAGTTCCTCTGAAACAGCTAGGGGGCACAGTGGATAGAGCACTGGGTTTGGAATCAGGAAGATCTGAGTTCAAATCCAGCCTCAGACATCTACTAGTGTGTGACCCTGGGCAAGTCACTTAACCTCTGTCTGCCTCAAATGTAAAATGGGGATAATTATAGCACCTACTTTCCAGGGTTATTGTGAGATGATATTATATATTTTATATAAATATATTTATATTATCTAGTATGTTATATAAATATAATATATTATACATTATATGTATAATATATAACATTATAAAGAGCTAGGATTATTTCAAAGCAGTCTAAAAAAAAGATATCATCTCGACAACTCACTATAAATTTAAGTGAATATCAAAGAAAGGTATTATCAATGGAACAATGAGAATTTTGGACAAGGGACATTTGTACATTGACGCATCTCACTGCCACATCAGTAAAAATAAAGGCATTGACTCTGATGTTCATAATTTTTTTTCTTTTAGTTACACACAAACATTTATTTTTAGGTATATTTGGGCAAAATAATGTGAGTAATTATTCACTCCTTGCACATAGCAAATGCTTAATATATTCTTGTGGTTCTACTGTACCATGCTCCCTAGCATTCAATGGGGAAAGTGGAACATTTGTGTCATGCTATATATGTAGATATAATGTTAGGTGGAACTTCTGAGGAGGACATGACCAATTGGAGGAGAGGATCAAAGTGGTAGAGGCGTCTTCCAGGGTGAGGAGGCTCTTGGGACATGGTAGAAAAGTCCTGAGAATCAGGAATGGAGCTAGGAGAAGAGTATAAGAGTGATTTGGGCTTTTAACTTGCTTCCATCTTTCTATTTTTTCTTCTCCCACAAGCAATGAAAATTATGACCCTCTCACCTTACCATGGAAGGGTGTGATCCAGGATAATCTTATAAATCATGGATCTAGAGATGCAAGGGAACTACGAGGCCACATGGCTCAGCCCCCTCATTTTTACAGACGAGGAACCTGGAATTCAGGGAAGTTAAATGACCTGCCCAAGGACACACAGGTAGTGTGCCAAAATTTGGATTTGAACTTGGGTCCTCTGATTCCAGAGATGATATCTTTTTTTTCTTAGACGGCTTTGAAATAATCCTAGCTCTTTATAATCACTTGGGGGTTTTCAAGGGCTAAATTAAATTATCCAGAGCCTACCCAGAAGGGTTCAGATTCCCACTTCTCTGATAGGTGAGATGTTTGGGCTGACGAGAGGACATCGGGAGTGACCTAGTACTTCCTCAATTCCGCGTTGATCTGTTTTTCTGTCTCCCACCCTGAGATGCATCTTGAGGGCATCTGGAGTATATCACTGCTCTCCTAAGTTTTCACGAAGGAAAACAACTTAAGGGTGACATCAGCAAACTTGGGCGGCACTGGATCGCAAACCTTGCAGCTGCAAGCAGACGGTATTCCTGCCAGGAGAAACTGGGCCAGATGCCCCTCCCCCATGGGCTACTGTTCAGAGCATCTTTTCTTTCTCCTCTGGTCATTCCAGTCTTGTTTGATCACAGAGATGGAGGTGCCCCAACGAGGACTGTGTGTGCGGGTGTGTCAGGAGTTGTGGTTAAGTGATACCTTGGCCGGAGATGAGGGAGAAGAAGCTTCTGAAAGCAAGAAAGGATGTGGGGTGTGGGGGTGAGGGGAGCAAAGAGGCCAGAGGATGGTGAGGGAGAGAGGAAAACAAGAGAGGGAACAGAACAGAGAGGCAAACATTGATGGAGCCAGAAAGGACTTCTTGGGTAGGTCACAGAGCTTGAGCAATGCTCTGGCTAGAGCTGATTTAGGAACAGAAGGGTGAGAGAAGCCGCAGGACAGTCATGTGCTTCTCACAGAATATGCAGAGCTTGGGAAAAGATACTAGAGGGAAATAAAGAAAAAAACAAAATCAAAACAAAAAGGAGAAGGGAAGAAAAGCTATCAGAGTCCGGATATGACATAGATGTCGAGCTGGAAAGGGATCTAGGAGTGAGGAAGTAGCATCCCTTAATTTTACAAAATCCTCTGTTTCCACAAAAATTTTGAATAAATCGGATCTTAGATTGACTTTTGATTGAACCCACGAATTGTTGGTGGGTTCATGCAGATGTCTCTCAGGGATAGTCTTTAAACGCCATTCTTGAGTCTCAGACATTTTATGGGCTCCATGTAGAGGTAAGCCACTTGAGGTTACACTAGACAAATCCAAAGATGAGTACCTTTTATCACCCTTAATTACTCCTCAGTGAAGTCTACTTGTCTCAAAAGTATTTTTATAGGTTTTTTTTTTTAGCTGTTCACATATGCCCTTAGGACGTCTATCAATTCCATTCTTCCTTTCTGGAGTTAAAATTCATTTTTTTTAGAGCTGCCTGAGGATAATGGACCCTGGGTTTTGTTAATATTGGATATGTTTTTGTTAGGGTACTTTCAGAATTTGTTATGGTTCATTCTATACTTCTGAAAGTATACATTAAGACTGGTCACAGCCTTTTCTTTGATATCTTTATGCTCAATTTATCTGCTTTAAATTGATGGCAATTCATTCCAGATTCCTGACACCAGAAACAACAGAAAGGTTACCCTTCAGGAGCCTGGAATTAGTGATCAAAGGCACCACCATCCTTCTAGTCTCCCAGGTTCATAACCTTAGAATTATCTTGGACTTCTCTCTTCCTCCCCCTCCCCCTCCCTCAACTCATTTGGCAATAAATTGCCAAATCTTGCCATTTCTCCTTTCACAATGTTTCTCACATCAGAAGACAAAAGCAGGAACAATCATAAATTATACTCAATAGAAGGCAAAAGCAGGAATGATCAGTCGTGGTCCATCAATAAACCTGGCTCCCACTCTCCCACCAACACACAGAGTTCTGGGAGGAGAATAAGCATACACTTTAAAAAACCCTAATGGTGGGGAGACTTGTGTGACTCGGAAAACTCAGAACTCTGTGGGGTAGGCTTTTGTGTCCTTGGTACTTTCAGGAACTGTCTTCACATGAAGCCACACTTCTGCTATGTACTTCATTTCTGGTCTTCACCAGTGTCCTTTAGAGAAAAGCTGCTTTCAAGTCAATGAAACAGCAACAAACTCTTTCAGCTCAGCCAACAACAAGAAAGTGTTATGCCCTTTTGGCTGATCTATCTATCTATCTATCTATCTATCTATCTATCTATCTATCTATCTATCTATCATCTGTCTATCTGTCTGTCTATCTACCTACCTTCCTATCTAAAACGTATTATATACATTTATGTATATATTCACATACACAGATGTATATATATACATGTTATATATGTGTAGTAAACAACATGCAAAATCTAATTTTATTATTGTCAACCAAACTATATAATAGATGGATAACCTAAATATTGTGCTGGAAAGCTTCTGGGACACAAGAGTGGGTAGATCACTTATGAAGTATGTATAGAAGGATATGGGCCAGAATCACTAAAGATGTGAAAACACAGACAAATTATGACAGGCACTGGTGGATGAAATGCCCACATCAATTAGGTCATAGATCCATCCACCCGAATGGCCAAATCTGCCAGTCTTTTCTGTCCTCATCCTTCTAGACCTTACTGCCACATTCTTCACTGTTGACCTCCCTCCACTTGTAGGTACTCTTTCCATCTTGGGTTTTCATGATGTCCCTTTTTTCATTTTCCTCTTACTTAGCTGACCACTTCTTCTCAGTCACTTTTGCTGAATCATCATCCTAACTGTGAGTGTGCTCCCTAGACATTGGGCCCTCCTCATTCTACATCATGGCATGTGATCTCATAATCTCCCAAAGATTCAATCATTATTTCTATGTAGATGACTCCAAGATTTCTAGATCTAGTCCTAGTTTCTTTCCTGAGTTTCATTCACAAATCTCCAATTGCATATTGGGCATTTACAACTTGAGGTCCTATTGATATCTTACACTCAACATGCCCCAGGTAGAACTCATTATGTTTCCACAAAAATCAGCCCTCCTCCTTACCTTTTCTATTTTTGACAGGACGTCCCTCCTTCCTTTCAGTCTAGATTCGCACTCTCAGGGTCACTGTCAATTCTTTCTTCTTTCTCACCTCTCATATCATTCCAGTTGCTACATCTTATATATTCCACCTTTATTTTCTCTCTTACATTCACTTCCTTCTTTTACTCATATGGCCAACAGTGAAGTTCAGGTCCTCATCACCTCTTGCAATAGAATCCTAATTTGTTTTCCTTTCTCCAGTCTTTCTTATTTCCATTCTTCCATACAACACTCAAAATGGTATATCATTCCCTTGTTCAAAAGACTCAGCTGGCTTTTTCTTGTTGTTCATTCTTCATTTTTGAAGAGGACCAATGCCATTACGAGTGAAGTCTTGACTTGGGAGTGAATTGGATTTAAGTGAGGCAGTTGCACAAAGTTGCACATCAGCCTCACCTTCTCTTCCTGAGTCATTGAAGTCCAGTGGCAGGACAAAAATCAAGACAACTGGTGATGCCCTAAGATGCAGTGGATGACTTTGGCATCTTCAGTGTCTGACTAAGCTCTAAGCACTCCACAGTGCCATCTCCACAGCCCCTGGAACACATTGTTTTCATCTACCCATTCCACCAGAGAAAGTTTTCACATGCTTGGGGTTGACATCCCCCTAACCCACAGACAGTCACCCTCAACCTGGTTTAGCTCATCTGCCAATATGGTTTACCAGGATGTGGCCACTGTGCATGCTACAGCTTCTTGGAGACACAGGCGAGAGATGGGTGAATCAGGTAGACACCAACGGCAGATGAGAAGCCCTAAAAAGGTCTTGGCAAACCCTTATGCTAGAAATGTGAGTTTTCCTGAACATCAAATCTCATTGTTTTTTAAAGCCTTTTAAAACTGGCTGTAGCCTACTTCTCTATTTTATTGCACCTCATTTCTCACCATGCACACTTGGACCAGCCAAATGGGTCTACTTGCTGTTCACTGCATCCCACCTCATTTTTCCAGCCCTAGGCCTGGAATACACTCTTCTTACTGAGATCTCTTAGGATCCCCAGTGTCCTTCAAAGCTGAGATCGAGCACCATCTTCGACAAGAAGCTTATCCTGATGACTGACTCTCCCATATCTTATCCCCTCCCCTAGAAATTATGTTATGTATGTTTTGCATGCATTTCATGCTACCTGCCTTTGGGGAGAGACTGACCTTGACTCCCAACCTCACCCCACTTTTTATTTGAGAAAAGGACTTATGGATAGAAGACCCCAGGACCATGCAAGCAAGAAGAAAGAACTCAAGACCATTCATTTATAATTTTTTAAAAAAGGAAATACCAAGGAGCCATGGAAAGAACACTGACTATGGAATCAGAGATCTTGGGTTTAAATTCCACCTCCAGGCTTACCTCTGTGACCTTGGTTGAGTCATTTCTCTTGCCTCCTTTTCTTCATGTGAAAACGAGGTGACATTGGATTCCATGGCCTTCAAGACTCTGACTTCCCCATAAAATGTTACAATGAATGTCATGTTTCTCAGAACTCATTAAGGATGTTAGGTTGGGGGAAGTCTGCATTGCCGTTCTGAAAAAAGGAAACAGTAAAATAAGGTTTAGCTTGGGACTAGAGAGAGAAGAAATCTAACAAATCCAACACGTCCCATGTCTTAAGGGAAATGGACCAAAACCAAAGCGTGGACTAGAAAACAAGAGAAAAGAAATCTCAAGAAGAGGGAGGGGGCAATTGATGGAGCTGCCGAATTTCCAGTTCCTCCCCAAATTGCCAAAGTACATCAGATTAGCTCCTTGAAGGCTGGGTCCCTGCCTCTTATTTCTGTTGTATCTTCTCACAGAGAGGCTGTATAGTGTAGGGGTTAACGACCTGGCCTTGGACCCAGAAGAGCCAGGTTTGAGTCCTACCCTTAACCCATACGGGATACATGGCCCTGGTCAAGTCTCTCCCTTTTAAAGCCTCTCAAAACTCTCTAAGGCTATGGGTAACAGAGCAAGGGCTGAGCTGAATTATAGAGGGGCTTGCTTCCTTTTTTGGTCTTTACTTTAAAATTCTTTTTTAAAAAGATGGCTTCCATAATTAAAAGAGTCATTTTGGTACTCTGATGGCCTCACAAACTAAGCAATGTGGTTATTCCCAGAGGTAGCTATGTGGTGCAGTGGTTAGAGCAGTGTGCTTGGAGACAGAAAGACTTGAATTCTAATCCTGCCTCTGACATTTACTAGCTGTGTGACCCTAAGCAAGTCATTTAACCTGTGTTTGCATCAGTTTTTTTAACTGTAAAGTGGGGGTAAATTCCTGTTTCCCTCATTCATCAGTACAGAATGTACCCTGTCTGCTTTCTTATCTTTTGTGACTGTTGCCTATATCCTCCTATAAATCTTCTAGGGGATCCCCTCAAAATGTTAGACACCTTCCCCAAGAGCCCTTGACCATTGGGTGGACCAATTGGGTGGATTGGGGCTGTCTATACGTTATTCCTCACTCCCATGATGTGACTGGTGCTTTTCGGATCACACATTTCTCTGATGGCATCCTGAATACTACTTCTCCCATGCAGTTCTTCATCAGTATTATGGTGAAGCCCACTTCTGCTCACCATGTGCTATTACATTAGAAGGAAGGAAAGAAGGAAATAAACATTTACTACATACCTACTACATGCCAGGCACTGTGCTAAGCCTTTTACAAATACTATCTCATTTTATCCTCACAACAAGGCAGGTGCTATTAGTTTCCTATTTTTACAATTGAAGAAACTGAGGCAGACAGAGGTTATCTTATACAAGATCATACAGCTAATATCTGGGACAGGATTTGAACTCAGAACTTCCTGACATAAGGCCCAGTACTGTATCCACTGAACCACCTAGCTGCCTCTCAGTAGCTGACCGTCAAATTAATTTTTAAAATTCTGAACTTAGCAAACACCAAATAAAAATGGCATTTCCATATCTATAGTAGGACAGGAAAAAGATTGTCCGTGAAACAATGGATTGGTAGAAGGAGTTTTTTCATGGAGAGTTCCCTAAACCAATGAAATTAAAAGTCCAAGGTTTAAAAGTTTAAAAAAAGGTAACTTCTTGCATCACTAAAGCACAGTCACCTCATGAGGGATGACTAACCAGCTGGCTCTGGAGAGGGTCTGACCCGATTTTTCCTATGAGAAAACGTTTTTGTGCTAGGTTTAACATATTGTTTGTTGTTCAGTCATGTTCTACTGAGACAAACAGGGTGAAGTGACTCGCCCAGGATCACACAGCTAGTATGCATCAGAGGTCAGATCTGAACTCATGAAGATGAGTCAGCCTGACTCTAGGCTCAGCACTCTATGCACTATGGCGCCCCCTAGCTGCCCCTTAATATATTGGCAGTAGCTAACTATATTATTAGGGTCAAGTCACTTGAACTCACCAGTCTCAGTTTCCTCATCTATAAATGAGGAGGGAGAACAATTTGTGATCACAAGGACGTGGTAAAGACAAACAACTTTGAAAGACTTAAGACCTCTGATCAGCACAATGAGCAACCACGATCCCCCAAAAAACTGATGAGGAAACACAATACCTACTTCCTGATAGAGACATGATGGGTAAGTGATGAGTAATTCATACAGTTTTTGAAATGATAGAGTAAGAATTTGTTTTATTTGACTATGCGTGTTTGTTACAATAATTTTATTTTTCTTTTTTTTCTGCAATGGGAAGAGATAAGAAGAAGAGAAACTCAATTTGATAGCTGAAAAAATAATTAAAAATAATTGAAATGAAGTTTGAGCTTAGTAGCCTATGAGGTCCATTCTACCATGAAATCTATGACCCTAGGTTTAAGTTGTAACAACCACCTGAATCAGAGTTATCTCTGGGAAACAGATGATTCTGAAGCATTATAGAAGAAAGGAATACCATTGAGGAAGCTGAGAATTAGTCCAACAATTCTGAAAATTTATTTGGAATCATGAGCAAAATGCTGCTAATCTGTCCATACTTATTGACCTGGATAGCTCTGCACATATTATTTCCTTGCTCAAGAGTCTCAACTGGTTTATTGTTGGAATGAGAAGCTGGAAGGGGACCAAAGATATTACTAGCATAGTAATGGATTTGATGACAGTTGGAAGGGAAAGATGATTGGAGTCCATTGTTGAGTAATAACCATAGAAAATGTCATAGTCAATTAAAAAATTCCACTGCTGGACATATATCCCAGGTAAGACAAAGATAAGAACCACGAAAACAGTACACACAATGTACACAATAATGGAAGGTAACTCTGAGTATCTCTTAGACAATACTACTCAGAGAATAATCCATCAAAGTTCTGCTGGTGAATGGAATTCTTTGGTGTATCAGGACTCATGGATTGAAGAGTTGTGTCTAAAAGGGACAGTGTAGCTATTCCCCAACAAAGAAGAGACAGAAATTCTCTGTTTCAAGAAGGACAAATGTCTAGGGACACTGGCAGAAGGTTGATGTTTAGTGCAGGATTCATTTGAGAATAAGAGCTCCAGAAAATGAAGAATGGCAGGTAGATTGACCTAGGTGGGGAGAACCGTACAAGACAATAGCTTGGGTTAAATGCTAATGGAACCCTGGAGCTCCCTTCACCTTCTGCAATAAGATAGGTTGTGTATAGGGCTGAGGTGAGAGGCAGGTCTGATTGCTACTAAACTTTCCTTTGCAAGAAAGTTGGTTTGCTAGAGGACTGATTCAGACTAGGGTATTTAGGGAATACTTCTCTTCTTTCTTACACCAGGAAATTAATATCTATTAATTTCAAAGCTTTCTGGTATTTTAAAATTCCATTTAAATTTCTATCTAATTAGTTTCAAATTTTCCAGGTATATGAAATGACCAATCATAACTTGTGATGATCTGCATGTTTCATTATTTGTGAGTGGAGAGTTGAAAAAAGAGGGAGATAATAGACATGTGATAGAGAATGAAAAGGATAGATGTTTAGACTCTCTGTTTAAGTAATTTTGTTTTGTTTTATTTTGTTCTGTTCCTTCCGTCACCCCTGACTGGGGGTTCAGGAGATATAAGAAAGAGAATCTCATTGATGTATTTAAAAATATTTTGAATAAACATTTCAAAGTAGGGTATAAATTGAATCTCCCCCTCCCCTCTGCCTTAGGTGGATTCATTTGTCATTGCTGTCTGGTGGAGAGCTTTGCACTTTTGAGTCGTACTGCATTCAACATTGCTTTCCTCCCCTCAAATCATGCTCAGTGAAATCTCTCTGGAGATGGAGCCCAAGGGGTGTGACTACAGAGCAGGGCCTGTCTGGTAGAAGAAGAAAGACAATGGTCCAAAATGACTAAAAAAGCCCACATTCCAAGGGTAGGGGTCATCTAGGGGAGAGTAGCTAGCTTTCCTCTTCACCTTATGTAGCCAACCCTCATAATAACCTGGTTGCATTAAAAAAGGAAAAAAAGAAAAGTAAACCAAAGTCAGACAGTGTATAATTCTGATTCCTCATCTAGTGAAGACAGGAGAAAATGAAACTCTCTGCTTTCCTTAGACAGGTGAGGGACTAGAAGTGCAGAATATTGCATACACTGTCAGATGTGCTTTCTGTGTTTCTCTGGTTACATGGGTAGGCATGCTAAGTAGAGATAAGGATGGGAGGGGGACAGTGCACATTAGGCAGTGACATATCTGGAAATATATGAACAACCAAACCAAACAACATGTTCATTTTAAAAAAGAAAATAAAGAGTTGATTTCCACTGACTTTCTGGTAGATATGTTGAGGAATAATTTAAGGTTGTCAACAGTCCTAGCAGAGGCCAGTGACTAAACAGCAATGACAAGCAAATCACCCCCCTTTTCTGCCCCCCTCCATCCTGTTATTGGAAGAGGGATGAGAAGTTGGAAGGGAACCAAGGATATTACTAGCACAGTAATGGATTTGATGACATAGTTGGAAGGGAAAGATAATTGGAGTCCACTGTTAAGTAATAACCATAGAAAATGTCATGGCCAATTAAAAGTCTTAGGATAACCTTTTCTGTAACTCTTCTCTGTTGCCCTAAGCCTGCCAATGAACACACCTGAGACAGGTATGAAATGGTGAGTTATGAGCAGGTATGAGCCTGAGAGGATCCAGCCTTCCCAGCCCAGTTATCAACTCAGCCGGACACAAAGTCTGTTGGAAAGCAGACGATTTGATTTTAATGGTCTGTATTCTCCAGCCAAGATTAAAGGACTCTGGAGACCAAATCAGCCACATTTCAACCTGCATTTAGCAAGTTGTGAATGACAAACGTAGAGGCATCTGTGGCAGAGATAGGAATAGCAACCATATTTTTATATGTACAAAACTGAGCATTTTATATTTATAAACGGAAGTATAGAAAAATCCAGAACATCAAAGACCTGAGATTATGTCAGAATGGAAACTTCCCTGCCATGAGCAGATCATAACTTGCTTATAACTTAGAATCTCAAAGAGCTGTTGTGAGAATCTAAAGAAGAAACTGAGGCAGACAGAGGTTAAGTGACTTGCCCATGGTCACAAAACTATTAAGTGTCAGAGATGGGATTTCAACTGAGCTCTCACTTACCTCA